CATATCAGCCTCAACCAAATGGTAGATATGTTCAGAAAATATGAAAATGTAAGACCAATCTATTTAAAATAAAACATTTTTTGATTACTAAATCATCTTTATGTTTTGAAGTAAGCCATAAAATATTTCAGATTCTCATTTAACATGTTTTCTTTTCTTATTTATTTATTTATTTATTTATTTATTTATTTATATGTTACAATAAAACCAAAATCAAGTACAGTAGTGCAACATGATTATGTTTGCTTGATTTTTTTTTGTAAACCCACAATGCTGTGTGTGTAAAACATTATTTAAAACAGTCAAAATATGGTCAGCCATTTGGTAGAGCAGGCAGTTAAAGGGTTTTAATATCCAAACATTTGACAAAAAAGATGATTTTTACAAAACAGCTGATCCTCCAGCATGGCTAAGCTGGCATTTGGCTGGCATGTCAGTTGCTTTTTTCTGTCTGAACAGCTGTAAAGTGCTTAACCCACCTGCTTGGGAGATACTAGCCTACATAACCAACTAACTATGTATCTGGTTTAATTTGCGTGTTTTTAGTTTCCTTGTTGGTGAAATCATATTGAAACTCACAGAGTTTTCCAGCATATGAGCGTCCTGCGCCCTGCAGCCGACGACATGCGGGCATCCTCTGAAGGCGAACTCCTCGAGCTCCAGCAGCATCCTCTCCTTCTCATCGCTCTGCGCGTGCACGATCTGCTTCAGGCGAAACTGCACCTGAGCGAAGTGAGATGTTAAGGCGAGAAGCGATGAATTCAGCTGTTCCTGCTCGTCCTCCATCTTCCGCAGCCGGGAGACCATTTCTCCATCGCCAGAGGACACAGAGCCAGCCTGCGCGCCCGTCTTCCAGTGCTCATCCTCCGGGTTGGCCACGGCTCCCACGGGCGCCCAGCGCTCCCCGGCTCCCGCGAAGGCAGCCTCGCTGTCGGAAGTGGACAAATCCTCCGTCGACATGAGACTGACAGTTGAAGTCGACAGCCTCGCTGCCTCACCAAAAATAACTTCGACCAACTTAAACTGACGCGCAGTTTGTTTTTATCAGATATGAATGCGCTACCGCTGCTTTAGCAGGTGCAGCGCCGTGTAATACTTACGTCCTCAGAAAACATTGCAACGTAATCGAAACAACTAAGATCGTGAAACAACATGGAACAACCGAACTTGAGTTTCAGTAGAAGACCCCTCTCTATCCGTATGTTCTATGCATCAAAGATTGTGTGGGCAGGATGTTTACGTCAGTGCGTAATTGCGTCAGTTGAACGCACAGTTAAACCGACCGACGCCTCTACAGTTTGTTGAGCCTTTTCTGTCCATGTTTACTTTCTATGTTTGTTTTAATGCAACGCCCTGAGTGTCAGTGGGTTGGACAGCCTGCCAAACACACCCTTTGACTGTTCTGACCCAGCACAGATTTTTATTACTGTCGTGAACATGGTACCACTAACCGGAGAAATTGGATAGATAAAGTGCGTTACGTCATATCCAAATTACCGTAATCACGGGCCAGTTTGTAAACATTTTTTTCTGAGGCCTGAATTTTGGTGAAATAACGCTCCTTTTCTTTCCCCTTCATTCCTTATTTAATTAAATCTGTCGAACTACATAATCACATATTACATAACTGTAAAGTTGTACATACAGTCGGTTTTATTTCATATTACACCAAAGGTTAAAATTAAACTTTGTCATACATCCAAAGGTATGGAGGACGAAACCTGCAAAAAACGATAGATAAATAAATAAATACGCAAACATATAAATAATTGAGTGAATAAATACATTTTTTTTCATAAATAAAAAAAAAAGAATAAATATGCAAATAAGTAAATAAATGTATATAAAATCCACAAATTATTGCATAAATAAATATTTAAATAATTAATAGTGCAAGCAGGTCTTGAAAAATATCTAATAAAATATTAATTACTGTCATCATGGCAAAGATAAAATAAATCAGTTATTAAAAATGAGTTATTAAAACTATTATGTTGAAAAATTGTGTTGAAAAACAGAAATTGGGAAAAATATATATTTGCAAATTTATATATTGTTTTATTTATGCAGTAATTTGTGGATTTAATACTTTTTAATTTTTTTTATTTGCATATCTATTTATTTATTTATTGTTTTACAGGTTTTGTCTTCCATAAGGACAAAACCTGCAAAAACGATAAATAAATACACAAATAAATAAATAAATAAATATATATATATATATATATATATATATATATATATATATATATATATATATATATATATATATATATATATATATATATATATATATATATATATATATATATATATATATATGCAAATACATAATTGAATATTTATAAAAATCCGCAAATTTCTGCAGAAATAAATATATAATTAAATAAATTACACCAATGTTGGGGAAATAAGAAAATGCTACACTGAGTTTTTTTTCCTCCCCCTTTTAAACTTTTATTCATTTTTGAACGTTATCCTGTATTTACTTTTCTTTAGCTCAACATGCTAATGAGAGGGTGTGTGTCAATCAACAGAAGGCGGTCTTTATGCCATCATTTGTTAATCATTAGAAAAAATTTGTGTTTGATTTTTGATTGGCTTCTGATGATTGACATGCAGCCTCTCATTAGCATGTTAAGCTGAGGAAAGGAAAATATTATTTATTTAAAAGTCAATTTAATATTTATTTACTTATTTGCGTATTTATTTCTATGTTTTTTTATTTATGTTCAACTTTTATATGCTCCCTTGGAGCTAAATAATGAGAAAGAACCATGGACTGTAAACCAAATCTCCTACCACATGCTGATGACGCTCAGATCTACTTAGCCTGACTGCCTAATGACTTCAGCACTCTGCCAATGCATTGATAATATGAACAGTTGGATGTGCCAAAACTTTCTTCAGTTAAAGAAAAAACTGAAGTCATCGCGTTTGGGAACAGATATGAGGTTCTCAAGGTGAATGCGTATACTTGGCTTTAAGGGTCAAATGACGGTATCCACTGGTGGATGAAGGTTCACTGCATGTTCAGTCTTTCCAGTGCACAATGTTGATTTATATTAAACTTAGTTCTTATCTGACTCCAATTTTAGTATGAGATGGTTTAGAATATTAATATATTTATCCTCGTTTTATCTGACTTCAATTATAAAACATTGATAAGATTATTTAGTTTCCTTTCACATTATTTTAGATTATGATTGAATATTCTTTTGGTTTGTTATTATACCTTATTCTCATTTACTCAGATTCCTATAGCATCTCGAGTCTTGCACCGGCCGGGTATACAATCTCTTAATACAAGCTTGTCAGTCTTTGTCATTAAACAGAGGCGATTAACCACTCTCCTAAAAAGGCAGAACCCTACTTACTCAATTTAGGAGATTTTTATGTGGTCCCCATAGATCTGTTATCTACTTAATCAAGACAAAGTATTTTAATAATAATCGCACAGGATTATAAGTTTGTAGATGAAGGCCTAAATATTCACATTTAAAGTAGTTTCAACAATATTTTGTTGTTCTAAATAGTTGGCCTTTTACAGTCCAAGTATACATGAATAAATGCCAATTTGTTAGTCGGATCTCTAACAACATAGCGTGCCACGCTGCTCCGTCTAACATGTTTTAGTCCGTTACTAACCTGTACAGTGGCTTGTAGTGCTATGGACAACAACATTTATCAGTGATAATAACACAAGGACTATTTGAATAATTCAAAAGATAATTTATTAGTCAGTTAAATGTATTATGCCAAATTCAATCAGTCAATTCATAAACGATCCATACAACACATCAAATTATCAAAGACAAATCCAAGATGAAAAGATGCATATCCTGACTTTGAAATATACATAACATGGAGCAAGCCATGTTATGAGCTGATCTGGTTAGGCAGAATCGCCCTGAGCCTTTCTCAAACCTTACCTTAAATAATCCAAGAATTCCCTCAAGGAAGGGGGTGTGTGTATAACAAAAGGCGTTCACACTTAGTGGAAAAGTGACACCCTTCACAGTGGTTCAAAAGATGCCTGAAGTTATATATTTATTGTTTTGATTATGTCTATTTCTGAGAGAATGAGACCATTGTACCAATCACACTGAGACATTTCAAATGATATCAAACATGATAGTTAAAGTCAATTTGGTTAATCTAGAACATTCAAACATTGAAATGACCATATGTGAGATGGGGTGGATGAAGCAGAGTTTTAGCAGACTCAGATGCAAATGCAGCAGGAACTAGTTTTTCCCGCATTCCCACCTGCTGGGTTGTGGAGTCACCAGTCTCTGTTTTCAGCTCATGTTTTGAATTGTCAAAGATTCTTAGAATATTTTATCAAAATATTTGCAATATTTCAACTCTTACAATACTATCATCTCAAAAACATTGCAGGAATTAGATTCTTTGTTTCCAATGAGGACTTAGAGAAACTTGTTCATGCTTTTATCAGCAGCAGGGTGGATTACTGTAATGGACTCCTCACTGGCCCTCCCAAAAATACGGTCAGACAATAGCAGCTCATCCAGAATGCTGTTGCCAGGATTCTGACCAGAACCAAAAAATCAGAGCACATCACATCTGATTTTTTTATTTATTTATTTATTTTTTATGTAAAGCACTTTAAATTACCATTGTGTATGAAATTTGCTATATAAATAAACTTGCATTGCCTTATGCAGGAAGTTATTCATAGTTATTAATTTATACATTTATTTATTTATCATTTTTGCAAGCTTCGTCCTCCATAAAAATGCACTTTCAATATAATAGTTCTTAACATTAAAAAATGCAAACAATATTATATAGAATGCATGCATTATATTTCCCTATACCACATATTTGTACCATTATAAATAAAAAAAATAATGGATGACAAATAAATCAATAATTGTGAAATCTAATCGTCTAACAAACTATGTCATTTGCTCGGAGTATTCCCTCATTTCTATTTTGTAGGTTACAATAGGTAAAGAAAGTCTGCACAACAAAAGTAGATATTCAGAAGAATGTTTATTTCAGTTTAATGAAAGGTAATTGGTGTTCAAAACAATACTGGATTCCACTGATTTTAGTCTGCTAAATGCTCAAATATAAATGAAATTGGAAAAAGTGAACAGGAGATACGAAAGAAAATACACAAGCATTTCTCTTTTTATTTTTCTATTACAGCCGACAAGGTTTCAGATGCGTTGTGAGAAATATTCAATACAGAAATGCTGAGAAATCTTTAAGATATCTTTCACAAAGCTTAATTAATATAGTATTAAAACCCTTTAAATTAATGAAGAAAAAAGTTACACACACAAGAGTAAGGACCAAGGGAAATTAAAAAGAGGATATCTGGTAGATCTTAATTTAATACATTTCCTTGTCAAGGGTGATCTAGTCATAATCACAAGACTGCATGATGTCAAGTCTGAAATAATGTAACCTATAAACCTGACATTTCCACATGCGAGTTATAATGAAAGATATGCCACTAGAGGTCATCTACGCTTTAATATGTTACATTTTTACACAATTTAGGAAATAAATAAATCCTCAGCACTAAGCAGTAACGATGGTCATTTTATGAACACACTTTACAAAAATGACACATACTTTCTGACTAAAGCGTAGTTGGTATTACCTTTTAGACAATGGAAACTTACCAAAATGAGTCCTTATTAAACATTTTCTTCTGCAAATAAAATCAACCATGTGAAATTAATCATCTGATTATCACTGATTAGTACATTGAGGAATGTAAAATGTGAAAAAAAATATCAGACACTTGAGCATGTAAGTGTCTTTGGTAAAAATCAATGTGCTGCTGTGATGTTTATAGAGTTAGGGCTCGTTTCTTTTTGGAGAAGAACAACTTCCAGTTGACCCAGTTGCTCCAGTCCAAGTCTCCGGCTGAAATACAGGTGCCACCCGGCCCACACTTATACCCCGCGGGACAGCAGTGTTGCATATCATCACAGCACACCGCCTTCACAGAGAGACAGAATACAAAGCCGAGGATAGAGTTAGGAACAGCCATTTGACTGAGATAGACACGTACAGTTTGCCTGCCATTTGAATGTAGAGTAAAGTCAATAGAACTGAGATCAGAAGACAAGTGCTCATTTCCATTCATGCAGTCTAGAGATATTCCTTCTCTGACGTGGCCTCTTTTTTTGCCAATTGGCATCTTTAAATGAAGTTAATAACTGTTTAGAAGACAGATTCATTTCTCATTTAACCACGACCATAAGTTCCACAAATAACTGAACACTGTTTTATGTCAACATTACAGTGTTCACTCAGAAATGTAATACTTCAAGTTGACACAAAACATGAAGATATTGTGAAGAATGTTTGTTTTCATGTAATAACAGTAATGGGTGTACTACAGTATTAGACGCCACTGACTTTCATTATATGGACATAAAAAACCTGTTCAGCAGAGTTCACTGTTTATTTCACTTTTACCTTTGTTTGTAATTTGAGTTCTTTGAGTTAACAATCCCTTTCAATTGTTTTACATTCAGTGACTAGCAACTAGTTTAAAATGACTAAAATATTTATATTTATGTTCTTAAGTAAACAAGTATATATATATATATATATATATATATATATATATACATACACATATATACACACACACATACACACACACACACACACATACTTGCATACATAAAGTTGAATTTAGAATTATTAGCCCCCCTTTGATTTTTATTTTCTTTTTATATACAAATGTTTTATTATTCTGTCACAAAAGGTTAAAAGTGGAAAGTCTTTCACTATGTCTGTCATATCAGTCATTTATGTTATTAAAAAAAATATTTCCCAAACGATGTTTAACAGAGCAAGGAAATTTTCACAGTATGTCTGATGATATTTTTTTTTAAAGAGAAAGTCTTATTTGTTTTATTTTGGCTAGAACAAAAACAGTTTTTAATTTTTTAAAAACCATTTAAAAGTCAAAATTATTAGCCTCTTTAAGCTATATTATTTTGATAGTCTACAGAACAAACCATCATTATACAATAACTTGCCTAAATACCCTAACCTGCCTATTCAGTCAGGACGTCAGTCACGGTAACTTTTATTTCATGGTTTTGTTCTGGTAATTATCAAGCTAAGCACTATATAAATAACAATGGTCTATAGCAGGGGTGCCCAAACTGTGTCCTGCAGAATTTAGCTCCAACCCCAAACAAACAAGCCTGAGGCACATCATGAAGCTCTTACTAGGCTTTGCTAGAAACATCCTGGCAGGTGTGTTGTGGTAAATTGGAGCTAAACTCCTCAGGACAACAGCTCCCCAGAACCAATTTTTGACAACACTGTTCTTTAGATATATTCCATGAAAAAAAAGTAGTTTTTGCTCCTTAAATGATGATAAAATTACATTTATTTGTTAAATGCAAAATAATGATGTGAATTTTAGAAATAGAGCGCTTTATCCCTTACCTTTGGAGAAGGGCAACATCCCCATGTGGTTTGTGAGGTTAGACAGCAGGTCTCACCATCATGACAGCTGAATCCACCACCACACTGAACGTCCTTCACTACAACACTTGGCTGGGGCTTGTTGCTGCGGATGTGAGTGAGTTGAGTAATTTCCACGTACAGCCTAGTGGTCTTTACACAGGAGCGTCTGCGCAGGTCACATCTGTAGCCCTCAGGACAGCAGTGCTTCTGGTCTGGGCAGCAAACAGCCTACGGCATACATGAGGTGTATTAAATATATTGAACAGGAATAAATATACACACATGACATAATCACAGATTTTTACCTCAGGAAAAGGGCAGCAGCCCGTTTCGTCTTTAGACAAGAGGCAGCAGGTCGAATCTGCAGAGCAACTCGACTGTTCATCGCATTTAACAACGCCGAGATCCAACTTTGGAGCTGGTGTGCTTTCAGCAGCGATTTTATTGTACCAGGGGATCACCACGTCTCCCTTAATACAAGACACACTGCTCAGGTTACACTTATAGTGGGCCGGACAGCAGTGCTCTCCATCTGTGCAACATACAGCCTGAGGAAGAACAAGAAATAGTGTCATTATAAAAACAAACCATTTTGCATGAAACATTAAGCTAATTTAATATTGTATTTGTTTCGATTTACTAACACAAACGCACACCGTTCAAAAAGACTGTGATAGGATTTTTTAATGTCTTCTTAAGAAGTCATTATTCTCACCAAAGCTGCATTTATTTGGTCTTATACAAGGGTCAGCCAAATGATTGATTCTGATTGGCTGATAAACTTTGTAAGGTCTGCCTATATTTTCAGTGAACCGCTAAGCTAAAGTAGTTCCAGGCATGTTTTGACCACATTTCCATATCACTACACTGAATGATTTCAGCTATTTCACAATCTAACTAGTACTACACACAGGAGATGTTTGGGAACAAAGTCTTGACAAATATCTGAAAATACTACATCTGAACAGTGTGTTTAAGGGTGCTAAGCATAGTACATCGTAGCAATCATTTGAAAAAACACACACATATTGTAATGAGGCACTTCAGGCGTGCATTATTTTTCTAATAATTCAAGGGCCTGTCGTACATTATCCCATCCTTAAGTGACAATCTCTCCCTAATTGGCATAAGATAGTAGTCTTGTTTTTGAATCTGCCACTATGCTGACACATAGGTATTTGTAGCTCCGCCTTCTATTGAAAAGAGGGCTGGGAACACAATCTCATTTGAATTAAAAGCGACTGTCATCAAAAATTAAGATCAAAGCCTAAGGCAGTTTCAAAGAGTTACAAACATTATTTGTGTGGTATTTTGAGCTGAAACATCACATACACACTCTACAGACATCAGAGACTTATTTTATATCCTGTAAAAAGGGGCACGAAAGGTCCCCTGTGATTGAAACAAACACATTTTGTCAAATTTAAAACCCCAGGCTTTTAAACAGTATTGTATTTAGTGTCTACAAACAATTGGGTCATGATTGTGCATTTCTGCTACATGAACAAGGAAGTGCCTGTAAATAAACTTGCAAAAAAAAAGCAAAGTCATGATGGAAAAAAACAGAACAACCGGTTCTGTTGAAAAACAACAACCTGCAGAACATGTTTTTCCGAGAATTTAGGAATGATTAGCACTAATAAACATTAATTTTATATGCAACAGAGTCAGACTCACATTAGGCAGTGGACAACAGCCCCATTTGTTGGTTTTTGCAATAAGACAGCAGGTGGTGTAATCTGGACAGGATGTTTGAGCATCACATGGAACCCTGTTACCATATTTCCCCGCTGTCACTTTCACTTCCTCATGCTTTCTCTGTTCCTCCTTAGCTGAGGCTGGGATAAGGACTGACATTGGTACAGACGTGCTGTTGCTTTTACAGGTTAATGTTACAAAGTCACAAGTGGTGCCTTGAGGACAGCAGTGGAATCCGTCACTACAACACACAGCCTGCAGGCAGAACAGGCTGACTTTTAATAACTGTTTTATGATAAAAAAGATTAACAAAATTAGTCTAAAATATGCTTTTTTCGGGGTATTTGTGTTTTGTTCCTTTCGCAAAACGAAATTACAATAACTTTTATTTTAGTTTCCACCATTCAGAAGCTTAAGGTCAATTCAATTCAATTCAGTTCAATTCAATGGACTATAAGCAAAGCTAGTGTTTTTCAGCCAATGATGAACTTCCGGTGAAAGCTTAATGTGACTATTTTCAATTTCATAAGGTTATTTTTACAGCATCGATGTTGTAATGCAATTCAAATATAATCAATTAAACAGACTTAAGCCTCCATTTAGTTGTTAAAGCGTAAAAAGAGATGAAAGACGCAGGAGCCGTCATTAGCAGCAGGCTAGCACAGAAACTCCATTGAAAATACTGGGGTGATCCCCTTCCACCCACCTTTATTCAACGGACCAGAGAGATGATGTCTTGTCTTTACCTTAAAAACATTTGATACTCATTAAGAGGACTGAGTAAACAATTAAAATATGGCACCCCTTTATTGAATATGTTGACCATATTAAGAATTACTCTACAAATATATATGTATATATCATTTAATTAATAGATTTTATTTATATATATATTTTTTATTATTATTTTTTGTTTTGCTTTGGTTTATATATATATATATATATATATATATATATATATATATATATATATATATATATATATATATATATATATATATAATATATTATAAGATATTATTGTTATTATTATCCTTAGTAACATTGCTATGTTTCTCTAAATACTTGTAATTTTAGACTGAAGTGGTTAAAAAATATGCATTGTTCTATTCTAGATAACAGGACTCTATTTTACAGGATTCTATTTTAACGATCTAGGCGCAAAGTCCAAAGCACAGGGCGCAAAAGAATTAAGGGCATGTCTGAATCCACTTTTGCTATTTTAAGGATGGAAAAATTCGCTTTGCGCCACTGCACATGGTCTAACAGGGTTGAGCTTATTCTCTTAATGAGTTATAGGCGTGTTTTGGGAATAAACCAATAAGAGTCTCAACTCCTATTCCCTTTAAGAGTCAGTTGCGTCACGCCATGGTGCATTTGCTATTTACATGGCTGACTTTGTAAGTGGAAAAACTGAACACTTCACTAGAGAGAAAACAGATAAACAGACCTTTTGCAGCACGAGAATGAGAGAATTAGCCTCCTCATTCATTACTTTCACTTTCACTCTCTTTCGTGGTTAAGGAAACGTGTTGTACTCACAGACATCCATTAGCCTATACATAATTAATTTAGTTTGTTAAGCGCAAGTATTTGTTTCAAATCTTTTTCTAAATTCAGTTCTTATTTCCAGCAAACGAATAACTGAACAATAATAACGAAGTGTGGTCAAAAAACTGAGTTATATCCAAATACACATGCTATGCCCCATATGGTCTAAAACATGACAAGAGGGCAAAGCTTGTTTTTATTAAAACAAATATAAATATGCATATGATAAATAATACTACTACTGATAATAACATTATACAAAAGCAAATTGTCATGAATAAACTAAAAAAAGCCCCCCGAGATGGAGGCATGGAGGCAGTAGTTTTTATATTTATGTAGAAAATAGTCATTTTTGTAGCATTTTAATCCTTTAATTTTTTTTTCATTTGTAAAGATATTTGTGTATTGATGTATATCCTGTGTGTATTAAGCAATGTGTAAGCTAGGCGCACAGCTAACTTGCTCTGAGCTGGACTTTACACCTGCTTTCAGCTGGTCTATTGTGCAGTCTATTTTAGTTCCTCAACACGCCTCTTATCTAAAGCGAAACACCCATGAGTCCACAAAGTGGCGCAAATGGATTTGCTATTTAAACAACATGGCTGAAATCAGGAAAATTATGGTCTGAAAATAGCAACACGTCATAGAAACATGTCTTGGGCCTTATTGCACCGGGTGTATAATAGCGCTCATAGTGTTTGGGAATGAATATATTTGAAAATTAAGAAAAAATAAAACAAACAAAAATACTGGCGTAAAATTAATTTGCATATTTTGAAGACATGGTGCTGAAAACTATAATTTAATGCAGTGCTTCTTATTTGGTCTGATACTCACTTTGTATCGCATCTCAGCCAGTTAGTGAAGATGGAAGTTTTTTTTTTTTGTTTGTTTGTTTTTTTTAATCAGATCTTAAACGCTGCAATTTTGTAAAGAATGACAATTAAACGAAAGCCCTGGGGCTGGCTGACTGAAATTAAAAGTCTGTGTGCATATACCCCATTCAATTCAATTCAATTCAACTCAACTCAACTCAACTCAACTCAACTCAATTCAGTTAGCAAAAGCATTTAAAAAGTTACAAACAAAAAGATTTTTAAAATAATGCTGCTTTTTAAATGCTTTCATTCATTAAAAAATTAAAAGTGTATCACTGTTTACTGACAAACACTGCAAAATAAGTATTCTCAACACTTAAAAAAATATAATAATAATAATAATAATAATAATAATGGTTCTTGACCACCAAATCATCATATTCGATTGATTTCTGAAGGATCATGTGACACTGAAGACTAGAGAAAATTTAGCTTTGACATCACAGGAATAAACTGCACTTTAATATGTATACAAATAAACCAAGTATCGTTTCTATTGTACATGCATGTTATTTTCTAATAATTTAATGGACTTGAGTAAACAATACTGCTTGTGGTATGCCACTGTTCAGATGTTGTATTTCAAGATATTTGTCAAGACTTTGTCCCCAAACATCTCCTGTGTGTACTAGATTGATATAAACGGTTCTTTAATATGTATACAAATAAACCAAGTATCGTTTCTACTGTACGTTAATCAAATAAATGCAGCTTTGATGGGCATTAGACCTGCTGAGTGCTTAAAGAACGTCACTGTTATAGAGGCATCGAGGGATGTCACTATGAACGATAAAATTCAAAGTTGAAAATGGAGTGTGTATTTCCTCATTTGGATACTCATGCAAGATTAGATTAAAAATATGAAAAACTTGCGACTTGTGGAGCTGCGCATCGATGGATTTGCTATTCAGTGTTTGGACTTTCAGCAGTAAAAAATTAAACCACACTGAACTAAACTGAACTTTAACTCTGAAGTTCAATTCACTAGAACTTCATTGTAAGCTGCTTTGACATAATCTTCATTGTAAAAGCGCTATATTAAGAAAGATGAATCGAACTGAAAAATACCATACCTGAGAGAAAGGACAGCAGCCCCATTCTCCAGCAATGTTCTTACAGCAAGTGCTGGATTCAGGGCAACCATGAGTAGCGTTGCATTTCACTTTGCCAGATGGCCTCTGACCTGCTCTAAGATGGACGGGGACCTTCTCCACCCAGGGCACAGAGCCTGAAGGGTCATCACAGGACCCCGCAGCAACGTTACATTTCTTACCATGAGGACAGCAGTGGATGAAGTCTTCACAACACACGGCCTGCAGAGAAAATCAACACACACCTCCAACCTTACCCAAAACACACTCTGCTTCAGGATTTGTTGTATGAGATGAAGCTACTTGTTAATGTTTGACTTACTTCAGGCAGAGGACAGCAGCCCCAATCTCCATCTTTATCCTTACAGCAGGTGCTTCCATCAGGACAGGCCACAGTGTCGTTACAGGCAACATCTGAAGACACTGGAGAGACTACAAATAATACAAACAGTAAAATAATAAATTAAATGATTCCTTTTATACTAGGATTGCACAATATAATGTTTTATAACCAATATTGCAATCTGTTCATCTGCAATAGTCACAGCAATAGTCACATAGTCTGGATCACAGTTCAAAACACATAAGATTTGTGAGTCACTCCAGAGTTTAACCATACTACAGTGAAGGTTTTTCATTTGCGCATGCATTTTTAAGGCCTGTGACTGTATGAGAATTTCAAAAGAGATTAAACCATTTGAGCGCAAGTAATTGTATTGTTTGTAACATTAATAAAGGAAAAATGTATTTATTGAACTATACAGTAAAGACTATACAGTGCCATTTTACATTTGATTATTACATATCTGTACCTGAATACTGATGGACTCCCAGAAAATCATCCAGAAAATCATCAAGTACTGTTTATTTCACGCTTACCTTTGCTTGTAATTTGGCTCATATTTTATTGATCACTCCTCTACACAATCATTACAATCACAATTCTTTCCAAACAAATCTATTCAGGTTATCCAGTGAAATTGTATTCGTATCACAATATAAACAGAAAAACGAAATATTACAATGTCAGATTTTCCAGTATCTTTCAGCCCTATTGTATACAGTGTTTGAATGCGCTGTATTCATTGTGTTGATGTACCTTTTGTATTAGCCACTTTCTGTTTTCTGATTGGACGGACGGGCACCTTCTCCACCCATGGCACAGAGCCTGAAGAGTCTTCACAGGACCCCGCAGCTACGTCACATTTCTTGCCATGAGGACAGCAGTGGATGAAGTCTTCACAACACACGGCCTGCAGAGAAAATCAACACACACCTCTAACTTTACCCAAATCACACTCTGCTTCAGGATTTGTGGTACAAGATAAAGGGCTTTAATGATAAAGCTACTTGTTAATGTGTGATTTACCTCAGGCAGAGGACAGCAGGCCCATCCTCCATCTTTAGTTTTACAGCATGTGCTTCCATCAGGACAGGCCGCAGTGTCGTTACAGGGGACATCTGAAGATGCTGATGAGGCTACAAATGATACAAACAGTTTCTGAACACACTGATCATAAGATTCCACTAAAATTATATATCTCTAGTGGAACTGACATAAATCCTTGTATTATGTTGGATTTCTCAGAACAATTCTTAAATAGCATGTAGCTCTTACTACAGCTTACACTCCAAGGAGAATAGAAACTCCAACCCCAATTGCTCCACCACACGAACTACTTATACAAACTTTGTGCAATGTTACGGAGAATGATACCCATCCCAACTAGCCCATCCAGATCTGGTTTCTGGAACTCAATCTCCTTGCAACAGCTCCTCCTTCGAGGAGTCTTATTAGAAAGAATAAAGAACCATGGACAAATCCTGAAAGTACAAGTTTGGTTCTGAGGCAGTAACTAATCCCCTTAAATGTGTAAGTCACTGCCTTTGCTGCTCACTATGATGCAGTCGATGACATGTTATTGGGAAAGCACAACCTGATCATCAGTTTTTTTTTAGATAAAGATATAACCCTCCTATAACGCCTCTCATACCCATTTCAGATGTCACAGTAGCTGACTTTCATGTCATTCTGAATTTCTGACCTGGATATGTGCCCAAGGTTCCCTCCACTCCACTAGATCAGATGGTAATTTTGCAAGCACTGTCCTCAGATGAGGCAAAGCCAGCCTTGGTGTGTCTCATTCACACCCTGTGCACATTATGTAGACCACACCGCAAGCTTTAGAATATCTGAGCAGCTGTCTGTCTGCTTCATCGGCCGGTAGAAGGGACAGGGTTTTCTAAACAAAGCTTGTTTCCCTAGATCAAGTGTGCCCAAACTCGGTCCTGGAAGGTTGGTGTCCTGCATAGTTTAGCTCCAATTTCCTTCAAAACACCTGCCTGGAGGTTTCTAGTATACCTAGAAAGAGCCTGATTAGCTTGTTCAGGTGTGTCTAATTGCGGTTGAAAATCTGCAGGTCACCCCTGCACTAGATAATGGATGTCATCATCACCTTTGAGTACCAGCCTCAAGATGAGGTTTCACTCCACACAAAGTGTGGCCTTCTCTTGGATATGAGTGCACAGAGCTTGACTTCATAGCCCATCGGCAAGTGGCCTGTCGCCCATGGGTAAATTGCCCCCTGGGCTCGCCGGTGATGCATTTTTTGCCCCTTTTTCACTTCTACCCCACTCTGGCAGAGACCTCTAGAGCTGTGGGCTGGGTGGCACCTAATGCATTCGGAAAATTCTATTGTCTCTGAATGCAGCTGGTTTCTTTGTGTATACTTGGTAATTTTACATAATTTGGGATAAACTGCCTTAGAGTCTCACTTGCAATAACATTCTTCCTCACTAAAGAATATGCTTGCCATTTGTTGCCCTTCTAGAAGTTCAAAGAGCAGATATTTTAAGTTTCGCTGGCACCCTAAGTGGTCTAACTCAGTGGAGAGGTTGACACCAGGCCCAGTATTTGTGTTAGCATGCCCTATTGGCAGTCCCTGTACTTGGCTAGGTGTTCCATCTATTGTAATTGCTTAACCAGTAATCCTATGTGTACCGTTATTATAAAAACAGCTGTCTTTTGCTTGACAGCATTTCCTCTGTCTTGTCTATAATATCCTACCCCTAAGGGCCTAGTTTTAGAGGTTCCAACATGTAGTACCTCTTCACTAGGGTAAGTTCCATACGTGTAGGCCCATGTCACCTCCCAGTGACCTCCCAATTTTTTTTTTTAATTAAAATGGATAGTTCGGGTACTTGATTCTGATTGGTTAAATCCTGTTCTAGACTGTTTTATATTACTTAATAGCCAATAAAACATACAGGACAAATTAATTGAAGTAATTCAAGTTTTTAAAGTACCTTGTGTAACAGCCACTTTCTGTTTTTTGATTGGACGGACGGGCACCTTGTCCATCCAGGGCACAGAGCCTGAAGGGTCATCACAGGACCCCGCAGCAACATTACATTTCTTACCATGAGGACAGCAGTGGATGAAGTCTTCACAACACACGGCCTGCAGAGAAAATCAACACACACCTCTAACTTCACCCAAAACACACTCTGCTTCAGGATTTGTTGTATGAGATGAAGCTACTTGTTAATGTGTGACTTACCTCAGGCAGAGGACAGCAACCCCATTCTCCATCTTTATCCTTACAGCAGGTGCTTCCATCAGGACAGGCCACAGTGTCGTTACAGGCAATATCTGAAGACACTGGAGAGACTACAAATGATACAAACAGTATAATAATAAATTAAATGATTCCTTTTATACTAGGATTGCACAATATGATATTTTATAACCATTATTGCAATCTGTTCATCTGCAATAATCACATAGTCTGGATCACAGTTCAAAAAACATAAGATTTGTGAGTCACTCCAGAGTTTAACCATACTACAGTGAAGGTTTTTCATTTGCGCATGCATTTTTAAGGCCTGTGACTGTATGAGAATTTCAAAAGAATTTAAACCATTTGAGCGCAAGTAATTGTATTGTTTGTAACATTAATAAAGGAAAAATGCATTTATTGAACTATACAGTAAAGACTATACAGTGCCATTTTACATTTGATTATTACATATCTGTACCTGAATACTGATGGACTCCCAGAAAATCATCAAGTACTGTTTATTTCACGCTTACCTTTGCTTGTAATTTGGCTCATATTTTATTGATCACTCCTCTACACAATCATTACAATCACAATTCTTTCCAAACAAATCTATTCAGGTTATCCAGTGAAATTGTATTCGTATCACAATATAAACAGAAAAACGAAATATTAATGTCAGATTTTCCAGTATCTTTCAGCCCTATTGTATACAGTGTTTGAATGCGCTGTATTCATTGTGTTGATGTACCTGTTGTAACAGCCACTTTCTGTTTCCTGATTGGACGGACGGGCACCTTCTCCACCCAGGGCACAGAGCCTGAAGGGTCTTCACAGGACCCCGCAGCTACGTCACATTTCTTGCCATGAGGACAGCAGTGGATGAAGTCTTCACAACACACGGCCTGCAGAGAAAATCAACACACACCTCTAACTTCACCCAAAACACACTCTGCATCAGAATTTGTTGTATGAGATGAAGCTTCTTGTTAATGTGTGACTTACCTCAGGCAGAGGACAGCAGGCCCATCCTCCATCTTTAGTCTTACAGCATGTGCTTCCATCAGGACAGGCTGCAGTGTCGTTACAGGGAACGTCAGACTCTGAACATTCAAAAGGTAAACAGAGAGTGTTTTGCTTTGTTGTATGTGTACCTGCAAGTTGATTCAGCACTACTGAGTGTTTATTGGCTTACTCTGTGTGCCAATCACATTGGGAGTAGTAGTTGATTGCACAGGTGTCTGTTTTACCAAGGGCTCTTCGGTACATAAAGGGTCTTCACATTTCATAGCAGCAATGTTACATTTCTTGCCCTTAGGACAGCAATGGACAAAGTCTTCACAGCACACGGCCTACAAAATAAAGTTAAAACAGTATGTGAACTTAGTAGGTTTTTAGGTTTTTTAGGTTTAACAGTTAATATTGTGTCTACTGTTTCATGGTGCCGGGTGATTAACATATCTATGTTAATATGCGAATAAATGACAATAATAGTCTCCTTAGCAATATATTTTGCTAATGAACTTAGCCCAGTGTTTTATATAATTCAAGACAGGGGCTTTTAACATTTTCCTTCTCAGGGGGATTATATTTGTTAAACTCATTGTAAAAAAAACACCAATGTAAAGATAACGATATATAAATACTAGGTTCGATTGTTTTAAAATACTGAACCCATAACATATTAAAGCAAAATTTTCACATTTGATCTAATAATGAAAAAGATGTATATTTAACGGCATTCAAAAGTCTGGAGTGAGTACAAATAAAAAAAAAAAAAAAGAAATTATTAGTATTATTATTTAACATTTATTTATGTGTTTTTTTGTATTTTATAAAACTACAACACAATACAGAAGAGAAAAAAATACAATACAATAATAATACATATAAAATACAATACATAAAAACACTAACCTATGACAGAACATCCGAACAACAGAACACAGAGGGACAAATGCACATAAAAGCAAAATATAATTTAGCTAGTCAGGCAATGCACAAATAAAAGGACTTATAACTGTTCTTATATTACCAGAACAATGTATTATTCTGACTATAGTTTTATTGTCAAATAATAGTTTGGGCACATAATTAAAAACATCATAGATTATGAATAGTCAATATCAATTACACTCAATCTTTAATTATTATGTTATTGACAGGGATCACTGGTTATTATTATTATAATTATTATTTAACATTTTTATATTAGTTTTATTATGCTGGAAAAATATAAGTTTTTTTCCAAATCAGTATTATTCCTTTAAACTTCATCCAATAATTCTCTAAAAATGTATCAGCTTTCACAAAAATATAATGGGACTAAGCCGGCTAAGGGACTAAGCCGAAGGAAAATGAATGTATGAAAATTCTTATTTTTAAACATGTAACTTTATTCACTGCTTTTGATTAAATGAATGCAGCTTTGTTGAGCATAACAAGATGTTTTGAAAGGTAGCATATACATTCATATTATTTAAATAATGTCTAGAAAAAATCTACCTCTGAAGGTGACAGCATATGTTTTGTTAGATGGATATATTTAAAATATATATATTTTACTTTTACAACCTACATAATTCTTTTCTCAAATTTTCTGTAGACCCTCAAGCTTTCCCAGAGCACTCCTTCTTCTTATTAGCTTATTATTCATACTGTGCTCCCAACTAATCTTGCTAAATAAACAGATCTAATGAGTTGATTTACCTCAGGCAGAGGACAGCAGGCCCAATCTCCTTCTTTAGTCTTACAGCAAGTGGTTCCATCAGCACAGGCAGCAGTGTCGTTACAGGGAACATCTGAAGACACTGAAGAGACTACAAATGATTGAAACATTATAAGAACCAATAAAATGTAGTATTATACAGTGAACAATTATACAGTTTTATACCAGTAAACTGAATTGTACCTTGTGTAACAGCCACTTTCTGTTTTCTAATAGGACGGACAGGAACCTTCTCCACCCAGGACACAGAGCCTGAAGGGTCTTCACAGGACCCCGCAGCTACGTCACATTTCTTACCATGAGGACAGCAGTGGATGAAGTCTTCACAACACACGGCCTGCAGAGAAAATCAACACACACCTCTAACCTTACCCAAAACACACTCTGCTTCAGGATTTGTAGCAATATAAAGATGTAATGCCTGAAGCTGCGTTCCAGACACAGTATGAGGTGAGAATTTCACCAGTAAAATGTCCCACTTCCATCCTAAATGCATTCCAGTCAATTGTGCATCACATTTTCACAAGATGTGAAGATTTCATAACATTTCATGTTGTTGTGCCTGTCATGGCTAAAACTAAAAGAACAGAAAATGCTAGCTGTCCTCTGAATACAGCTGACAAAATAAAGAACATTATATATTGCACCAGAAATAGCCTTTATTCGCCTTTATTAGCAGAGTTCCCACTAATTTTGGGCTGTAAACATACTTGAATGTTTATTTATTTGATTAAAATAAAGTAGCTCTGCGCTAATTTTCCTGAAGCAAAACTAGCCGTCATCTTTGAAGTGTTGTTAAATGATGCATCGTACTAAAGTCATGTTCTTCAATCTCCCCTGAGCTTAGGGGTCATATGTCTGACTTTTAGCTGCGTTCTAGACCTTATTTACAAACCGGAAGTAGCAAAACTTGCCTGACATGATATGTGTGATTTACCTCAGGCAGAGGACAGCAGGCCCATCCTCCATCTTTAGTCTTACAGCAAGTGCTTCCATCAGGACAGGCCGCAGTGTCGTTACAAGCAACATCTGAAGACACTAAAAAAAATGTGTTATACTTTATATGTACGCATAAAACATATATTTTGTGCTCTACAAATTTCCACACACCCCCTTGGTGTTCGGCAGGCAGCGTAGTCATTTGGTTAGCTGCAGTAGTAGTGCTTGTAGTGCCTGTAGGTCTAGCTGTAGTGCGTTGAGTTTCAGGCCTTTTTTCTGCAGATTTCGAAGGAGAGAGGTAAAATGCTGAATTATGTTGCTGTAAGTAACATGAAAAAGAAATGTAATGTCTTAAAATAAACCCTACGTTTGTGATCTTCCCATTCAGCCCTAAGGCGAGCTGGGAATTTGTCCCACATGGGCAGCTCCTGGTTGGTTGAGGATACGCATTTCAAGGCTTTGACGTCACAAACAGTGTCCTCTGGGCAGCAGTGGATTTTGTCATCACAGCATACAGCCTACAGAAAATATGCATAATGGAGAAAATAACGCAGCTGAAATACTTGTTGTGTCCGAAAGAAATGCCCAGGGGGACATTTGCACATTATTTAGCGTTAATAACCCAACAGATTGAATTAAACCATCAAAATATGAGTAACTCTATATTGGAAATGATTTAAAGATTTTTTTTAAATATAATATTTTTATATTTTTATAATATTTTGACCTTAAAGCAACACAGAGCAATACAAAAGCAATAACAATTATAAAGACAGAAAAGAAATGCAAAAAAAAAAAAAAACTTTAAAACCATTATTACATCGGTTCCTCCAGTAATGTTACACATGTTACATCTAAGCCAGTGGGCCCAGGCAATATGGTGATCTTGAAGACGATGACAGGGTTATACCTTTAAACTGTTATCCTTGGCATTTTATGGTGGTTTTGTGGTGGCATTGTGGTTTTGATGCTTTTTTCCAGAAAAAGAAATTAGCTATCATCATTCAATATTGGACAGTTTTTTTCATGACTGAACCCATAAAGTGGGTCAGACCAACCAAAAACAGTGATTGCTGGACATTTTGTTCTACTCCCTCAGATTATGTTAGCAAAACTGTATTTGAATGGTTATAAGGTTAAGCGATACTACAGTCTCACCAATCCTTATTAAAATGTATGCTGGTAGCACAATCTGATAGGTAGTATATATTGTCATTAAAATGTCCTAGCTATTTTTTGAATGGGAGGTAGGAAAATCTGACAGGGTAGGACAAACGACAGAACACTGGCAACTTTCCAAAGCCGTATGTATTAAACACTATCTAGTTTGAGGAATGAGCTGTATACTTGGATGATGTTGAGGTTTATAGACCTTGGAACAACAACTTTGCTTCATCCCCGTCCTGTTCAAACTGTTCAAACAAGATCACCATTATCTTCTGGGTTTTCCAGGGCTATGGTAACTTTTTTGAACTTATGTTGGGACAGGGTTTTGCATAGTCTGTGTGAGCTAAGGGTCTCCCCATTGATCGCTTCTTAAGAGAATAGTAGAATATTATAGGAGTTGGGTGGCATGGTGGCTCAGTGGTTAGAACTGTAGCCTCACAGCAAGAAGGTTGCTGGTTTAAATCCCGGCCAGGCCAGCTGGCATTACTGCGTGGAGTTTGCATGTTCTCCCCGTGTTGGTGTGGGTTTTCTCCGGGTGCTCCGGTTTCCCCCATCGACCCCTGATAAATAAGGGACTAAGCTAAATGAAAATGAATGAATTATAGAAGTTTCTGCTCAAGTATTTTTTTTCTACAAAAATCATGTCACCACACATATTACTGAATTTAAACTTGGTCAGTACCTTTGGCATGGGGCAGCAACCCCATTGGCCATCATCAGCCTGACAACATGTAGTATCTGCAGGACACTCCGATGTCCCGTTTCCACAAAGAACAGTCTGAACTTTTACTAAAAACAATCACACATCAAAATTACTCCAGTTAGTCATGATACAGTAAAACTTATTTAAAGTTGATGTTTTAATCATTACTATCTCTAGCCCGGCTTAACTCTGCTCAATACCTTTTCGCTTGACACACAAGCTGCTGTCAGTACTGCATTCATGGTCATTTGGGCAGCAGTGTTTCCCATCCGAACATGCAAGGCCCTGAAAATGACAAGGATGACAATTTATTCATACAGAAAAGAATATAGAACAGAAAATAATATATTTATATTCATACACATATAAAATATGAGTGACTGGAATTGTAAGCTATTCTTTACATGAAGATATGTGGCCAGCAGGAGACCTCTTAATTTAATTATAATAATAAATAAATACAAAAACTTCAAGAGTCAGATGTACTAACAGTTTGCTCCTGCACAAAAAACTGCTGTCAGCATTTATTAATGACATTAAAGAGATTGTCCACCCAAAATGAAAATTCTGTCATCTTTTACACACCCTTATTTCAAACCTTTATGTGTTTCTTTGTACTGTTGAATAAAACAGAAGATATTTTACAAACTTTTGAAAAACCTGTAACCATTGACTTTTATAGTATTTGTTTTTTCTTGGTTACCAATTTCCAGCTTTCTTAAAAATATCTTCATTATGTTCAACCGAATAAAGAAACTCATTAAGGTTTGGAACCACTTGAGGGACAACAAATAGTCAGTAAATGTTCATTTTTGCATGAACAATCCCTTTTAAATGAACAGTTAGACATTAAAAGTTTTGAAATCAGTTATTTTTATAGCTGACCTTATTACATATGCACTTGAAAGATGGCAGGAGAAATGAATCATGCACTATGCTATGAGATATGCTAAGATGTACAGTAGTTAACAGGTGTTTGTGCCGTTATTTAAACCAGAAGCATGTCTTGACACATTCTTTAGGCCTGTGTTAGTATATTACACACACCTTCTCATTATCTACGCTTGTGTGCAACCTAATTTGCACAGTTCTTGGTAGATCAATCTTTTATGGAAATGAGCTGCTGCTTCTCATCTGAGGTATTTTATTTGCACATTGAGAGTAGAATTAAATATTTTAATATGGATGAGACTAGTTTAAAGGGATAGCTCACTCCAAAAATGAAATTGACCTCCCTCATGTGGATTTAAACCTTTATGGGTTTCTTTCTTCTGTTGAACACAAAAGAAGATATTCTGAAAAACTCTGTTTGCGCACACCTGTTGTTTACCATAGTAAGAAAATAAAATATTATGGAAGTCAATGGGTGCCAGATACCAGCATTTTACCATCAAAATGTCTTATTTTGTGTTCAACTGAAATATAATAAAAAACTAAATAAAACAAAATAAAAGGCAAAGAAATGATGACAGAATTTTTGAACTACGCTATTAAGGGATTGTGTTTTTTATCATCGATTTGTGGCCATTCAGTACACCATTTACAACAGCAGTAGCTGGTGTTTTGGGCTGATATTCCTGTAATAGTGTCGCTTACCTGTGCTACTGGACAGCAGCCGTATGATGTAGACATCAGCAGACAAGAGAACTCAGCAGGACAGGAGGAGCCGTCAGGACAGGTGATGTCGCTTTCACTTGCAGGCATTGAGAAGATCATTCTGAATGACTAAGTAACAGCGGTTATTATTAGAGCATGACGATCAGCTATGAGTACTATCACTTACACTCTTTATATAATGTCTCACTTTGGGAAGGTCTGGCTTTTTAGCTAGTGTCCTGTCTGCCAATGGCTGTGTATGTGTTGCGTTTGTACATGTTAAGTCCTTAACACTGCACAACATGCCTTCAGGACAGCAGTGCAGATGGTCCTCACAACATTCTCCCTGCAAACACACACAGGCATGTTTTACTTCATTAAGATAGCTTCCTATAGCCATATGGGCTTATAAATAGTGCAAATCATATGTTCTATCACCTAATATCTAAAACTTCCTTGTGGTGGCCAACATAAATGTCCTATAGCAGGGGTCACCAAACTTGTTCCTGGAGGGCCAGTGTCCTGAAAAATTTAGCTTTAATCCTAATTAAACATGAACAGGCTAATCAAGGTCTTACTAACTATACTTGAAAAACCCAGGCAGGTGTGTTGAGGCAAGAGGAGCTAAACCCTGCAGGCACACCGGCCATCCAGGACCGAGATTGGTGACCCCTGTCCTACAGTGTTAACAATTGCAACTTCTGCTTTAAGACAGAGGTGCCCAAAGTAGGGCCTGCGGGCCAAAGTTGGCCCATGGAAACATTTGGATTGGCCCACGAACCCATCTGAAAATAGAGGCAGGGTGATGTGGAGTTGGTCAGGCCTTTGACAGAGTTCGGCTTTTCGTGTTTAACGTAACCTGTATTTTCTTTGTTTAGTTTAAGAGCAACAAAAAAAAAGTAATATTTCAATAAATGTTACAAATGAATCAGAGTTTTAAAATGTAAATGCTGTCAGTTGACAGACAGAGGACAATGCAGAAGACATCAGCGAGCAAATCAAGGCAAAGGCAGGAGCAGCTCGACTAGTGTATTCAGCATTGAACTCTATTGAGTTATAAATAGAATTGTTCATGTTTATTATAACAGGTTCATCATAAAACGAGAAAAAAAAAAACTATACTGCATCATTAATCAATATGTTTTTAAGCAATTTTTTTTCTAGTTATTTTGAAATATTAGCAAATAAATTACCCATGGCAATTTAATAATAAATATAATTTAAAAATTTAAGTAGTACATTTTGGCATATTTAACTTTGACCCACAGCCCTCAATGAAGTTTGGTTTTCAGCCGATTTCAAGAAAAGGTTTGGGCACCCCTAATTTAAGATATTTTATCCTCATTGGAGCATTGCTCGGATAGTTAATGGAGATGTAATAAATATAGTTGATCATTAATAAGAAGGTTTCCAATTGTGCTAGAGCAAGCTTTGGGGATTTAAAGAAACATTAGGCATCAGTTACCTATGGCTGCTGCTAAACTTTTTATGAATACAATGATTTTCCCTCACTTATTTTATTGTGCTACATGCTGGTCCTACACGAACATTACAACATTAAAACCATTGTATGCTATAAATAAACAAACTGTACAAATTTTAGCTAAAAGCCAAAGAGCTATCATCATTGTAACTGTATTGCACAACAAAAATGACTAACATTCAACTGTTTCTTATTTTATGCTGATGTGTGTTTAATGTATAAAATATTTAATGTGCATCTAAATTAAATATTTAATCTTGCACCACCACCCCTCAAACAATGTGTGATTGTCGGCAAGGACATATAAGACAGACTAGGTCATTGGTTAAGCCTGATTTATACTTCTGCGTCAAGTGACCGGCGTAACCCACGGCGCAGGCAACGCGCGTGGCTGTGCATTTATACTTCTGCGCGCTGTCTCTGTCGGACTGCATTAACACTTCCGAAACGCTAGTTGGCAGTGAGGTGTAAATGTTCCTCTGTGTTGAGTTTCTTCGCTACTTTTTTGAATTTCCTGATCACTTCCGGGATGTACAAGTGGCTCAAACTCGCTCATTTTGAGGCAGGAACCGGCGGACATGCAACAACTTTAGCTATGAGGTAAGCACAAAACAAAACTTTCCATCCGGAGATCCTTCACGGGACTCCACACTTGTAAACAATCGCTCGCGCGGCGTCGCGCCATTCGCGCGGCTCTCGGTCCCGCCCAGACTCGTCAGCGCTACCAAGCCGACCAATCACAGAGCTTACGCTACGCGTCGTTGCGACGTGTAGTTACATTTTTTGAGAGGTGCACGTCAGTGACGGCGATGGCCACGACGACGGGCTATGCGTCAGCGCCGTAGCATACGCCGGTGTTTGACGCAGAAGTATAAATCAGCCTTAAGGTGATTGCTTGGTTAAATTTAAGAGAACTGCTTTTTGAACAGTCAGTTTTTTAGTTAGAGCAGCAGAAAGATTAAATAAAATACCAGTGTATATGAGAGAGTATCACTTTTACACATTTTAAAACTGCTCTTAACATGTGGCTTAAACAAAATCAAATATGCAGCCACTGATTTGATTCTAGTGACTACAGATGTAAATTAGCTTTATAGCTAACTCTGGCACAACATGTCATGTTGTACATTGTCCCTGTATAAATAAATAAATAAATAAATAAATAAATAAAAATCTAATAACCTTAATCTTCACATACGAGCAGATGCAACTGGAATCTTTTTGGCTCAAGACTTCCAATTTCATTCACTTCATTGATTTTTAAAAAGAGCTTGTAAAGCTGCTTGATGTTGCCAATTGATATATTCTTATTACATTTTTATACAATGTAGATACAGTCATGAACACACTTGTTTGTAAAGCAAGAAGTTTGTTGCCGTTTATTATTCCTAGTCATAGGTGACTGAATCGAAAGTTCTAATATATAATATATATAATAAAGGTTCTAATAGAACCTCGAGCTGGGAATCAAACTTTTGTCTCCATGAACAACGTAGTGCTACTACTGTATGTGTCAATGCACTAACCACTAGACTTTTGGAGCCAAACACCTAATCACTTTTAACAGTGCACTGCATGTGTGTATATTAGGGGTGTAACGATATTAAAACCGAACCGAAATATCGCGATACACCAACCACGATACATATCGCAAAACTCTCGTGGCGTACCGCGGTACTCTCACGCCCCCTGCTGCCCATTGTTGAGGTTGACGTCACTTGTCTCAAACTAATTGAACCAATTTAAACACATCTTTATTATCACATTTGATTAAATTATTTTAGTAATGATGAGGATTTGTTCTAAATATTATATTTTAAAGTTATTATTTTAGTGCATGTCATGTCATGTGACTTGAGTGAGCATCACACTCGTTACTACTGGACGCAGGATGGCTGCTTCACATAGTTCTGAGATTGCAGATCCCCCAGACACATTTAAGTCATCTGTGTGAAAACATTTTGGTTTTCCAGTTGAGTACAGGAATATAATTTGTGTCGTAGACAAAGCACACGCCTGTCTGTCTAAACTGTTTTTACGAAACTTACTTGTTAGGAAAAACATTTAAAAAGTGTGGTAATTTCACAATGTGAGGGTGTAAGCAACAGAACTGCCAACAAAAGTGATTTAATGTACAAAAGTGAAACCAGAATAATGCCCAAATATACAAAAAAAGAGAAATATTTACACTAATAAAAATAATATAATACAGTAGCAAATTCAAACAAAAGTATCAAACAAAAATTAGTTAAACTCGAGCAAGGGGGTGATAGTGAAGACAGACAAAAGAAATAAATATAACAAAACAATTCTAACTCATGAATGACCCCTCTTACCTCGCTAAAACTGATGAAAAGAAAAAAAGGTCTTCAGCGCCGTGCGCCGCATTCTTCCCTATACTGAATAAAATAAACAAAGATGACCTTCACCTCTTACCTGATGTCTTTAACAATACATTTTCTACGTGTTTGCAAAATGGAAATCGTATGACATGTTCCCTATCCACCTTACACTAAGATGAACTTGAGGAGATACAGCTATTGTCGGGAAGGAGCGGAGCCAAAAAATAATATACAAATCAATTGAAATAAAAATGTACAAACCTCACAAAATTACTTAAAGTGGGCAAAAGTAATGCAAAATAATTTTACCCAAATGAAAGTTAAGCAAAAACAACGAAAATCGTAATCATGTCAGAAAAATACACGAAAAACGAGATCAAAGGAAAAAGCGCTCTCTCTCCCGCTCTTCCTGACATGCTTTTTACATTCCCGCGCTGCGTCGCCAAATGATGATAGATCGCTCTCCTGACCAATCAGCTGTCAAAAAGGTGGACCTACAGAAATGACAGCCATCAGCTGTCGTGAAGGCGGACCTACATAAATGACCGGCATAGAGGGAGCGGGAGAGAGAGAGAGATCGGGAGGCAATCATACAGCCGGCTACAACCCTAACATTAGTTTCAGACACAACCGCAATGTATTTTACTGGTGAATATGTCATGAAAAAACACTTTACAAACACATTATATGTATATTTTTCATTAATTTAAACGGAAACCTATCTATCTAACTGAAACCAGATAATCAAAAATGAGCGTCTGTGTCTGCACAGAGATCAAGCCTCTCATCGGAGAATGTGGATATTATGGTGTTTTTGAAAAAGATCTTTCACTAGTCTACACTGCAGTTATTTATTTAATTTTAGTTTACTTAGTTAAGATGGCAGCACTAAAGAGAATAGTTTTTTTTCTGACTAGTCTATATTGGAGGTATTTATTTAATTTTAGTTGTTTACTCTGATATCCTGACTGTACTAAAAATGTAATGAAAAAGCTAATTAAGAAAAAGTTAAGATGTTCTTGTTATTAAGTGAATTGTCCCTTAGCATTGCTGTTAACATGACATCAACCCAAACCCTACAGCAAACAGAAACCGAACCGTACCGAACCGTGGCTCCAAAACCGTGAACCGAACCGAACCGTGCCTTTGGTGTATCGTTATACCCCTAGTGTATATATTAAAAAAAGTATTTGTCCACAAATCAACTATTTTATCAGTTCCTGTGTATCAACTGATTCAGATACTTATACAGCACAGTTTTGTAAACAATCTGTAATTTATATATGACAGAAGCATTATTACAGACTAGATTGGTGGCTATTAAAAGTGGCTAAAAAAAACTCACAAGTGTGCAGTAATTGTCTTGAATTGAAATAATTGATGATTTTAAAAAAACTGCGCACAAAAAAAATCTAATATTTCTGGTCAAATATTGTGCTTTACTATTCGCAGTTATGAAAAATAAGTGACTATTATTAATAAATGAACGCAACTCTCCAGTTTCTGTTGCTTGTTTGAAATCTTCAGAGAACTAAGGGAAAATTTGAATGTGCTGTGTATCTGTGAAAGAGCTTTTTGAAAAACATACACCCAGCAGAATGTCACATGAGTTAGAAAGAGCAATAAACTGTAGTGAGATACAAGTTCCTCTATGCAAAACCCTAGGCTTGTATCTACTGATCAAATACAACAGGAACACTGAATAATCCTGGAGAGAACTTCGTTGTGTTTGTCAAAGCCAAATGTGATACACACTGTTTCAATGGTGAATGGGGAAATACTGACAGACGCAGGACAATTGGAACACAATGCATGAAATCTTTCTCTTGCTCTAAAATCTCTAAACTAAACCAGAGAATACAACAAGTGTAACATTGACTTGTGTCAGCATTCTGGCCAATTCTCAATCCAGAAAATAATAATAATAATAATCAGTCAAAACACAATTTAAGTATTGGATCGGTAATCACCCCAATAAAAGTTCCTTAAAAATTCAGAATTTTCTTCAGCTGAACACAAGAGAAGATATGTTGGTGGATATTAGAAAGCAGCAGGCATTGACTTCCATAGTCATAGTCCACTTCCAGTTAATTTTTTAATGGAAGTTAATGTTTTGTGTTCAACAGACTAAAGAAGTTTATAAAAGTTTACATGTTAAGGGAATTTTTTTTATTTTTGGGTGAACTTCCCCCTTTAACCCATCAGCATTCCTAAATACTCAGCGTAGCATAAGCCAACAGGTTAATCAAGTTCTACATCTGGTCATCTGATTAGCTTAATTTCTTTGAGCTCTTTGAATTGCAAAGTCATTAAATAGTGAAGTGGTTTGCATGTTCACACTATTGGAGTGCCTTATCATAACCATTATAAAATGAGCTGACCGCGTGGATGTGTAAATGGTGCTAGTAAAGACTATCTGACTGAACGTAATAAAAGTGGCAGACCACTTCATCTGTGTAACTGCCTTTTTAGTTCCTCTGATCCACTTTCTACCACCTAACTGCTTATTATGTATGAGTTTCTCACATGATGGAAAGGGCAGCAGCTGAAGCCACCAGTGGGATCCTGGCAGCAGGACTGGCCTGCTTCACAGACTTCATTATTGGGGCACTGCGAGCAAATAACCAGGGTCACCACAGCGAGGCAGACTGTCAGTCTCAACATCTGGATGAAAAGAAAGTCGAAATATGTCAGAAAAAAATTCTTATGCAAACAAAAGGAGTAATGAAGTGACAAAAAATCCTGCAACTCTAACAGTGCAAGTATAAAGTATTAAGTCTTGTATCATTTCCTCTTTCACATCATGAAATTGGAGGCAGATGATCTCCAAAAAAACTAAGCTGACCTCTGAAACAATGACTGAAACTAACATTATAATTGTGCCACACAAAAAGTCAGCAAATAAAATCAGGTTCTAAAGTTTATCAGTGCCTTGTTGCCTTATTTCTGAGCAGCAATTAGAAGTATGGAATTTTATTTTCATTCTTGACAAATGGAAATACCCATATGTTTGCCAAACCACATTGTACATATAAAACTTTGTGATGTTTGTTTATTCTTTTAAAAAAACAGGAACTAATTAATTTTAGGGTACATTCTACCAGAAATGTACATTTTCTCTTATAAAATATGTGACAAGGTTTAATGTAAGCTTGTCCTCCTCGAATAAATCATACAAAAACAAGCATAAAACCAAATATAGAACACATCCTTGATCACTGTCAGCTGCTCCTCCATCGAATGATGTCACGTCCAATTCATACACTGTAAAACCCAACAATCAACTTTTTTAACTGAAATGAGTGTAGTTTACTCAAAGTTAACAGAGTTAATTCTACTCGTTTAAAAAGAGTCTTGAACTCAGTGTTGAAGGTAATGAGTTAATTAAATAGCATTACTTCAAATCAAAAGGAATAAGTTCATGGTACTAAAATAGATTAGTTTCTTAACTCAAATGGTTTGAGTTGCTTTACCTCATTGGGTTTTACAGTACACAGTTGGTTTGAGTTCTCTTCATTTATTGGGTTTTACTGTGCTTGAATTGCTTTGTTGCTCAAATGGATTACGTTCACAGTACTCATTAGGATTAGTTTTTGAACTTAAATGGTTTGTTGCAATCAGATTCCTCAAATGGTTCGAGTTTCCTTAACTTGGGTTTTACAGTGTAGCCTTAAGTGTATTGCATGCACTATATGTTAAATTTATTGCAAATGTGACAGGACTGACAGTAACACGAGGACAATTGTACATTTATTTGTATTACTGTATATTTGTAGCATTTATTTGTAGAATTTATTTGTAATTTCATGTTTTTAATCAATTGTTGTGCATAATAACAACTTTTTTTTTTAATTAGAGTTTTTAGCATAACAAAACTATTAAATCTGTAGGTTGTTCAGTTGGGCTTGTACATTTGTGAAGTGTTTTTAATAAAGAAAAAAAATCTGAGAACCAAATTAATGACATTCCTTTACGGAGCAACTCACAGAAATCAACCATCAGTCCATTCTAGAAATTTATGGGATGAAATACTTTTTATTCACAGCATTTTTGTTTTTATTTCAGAGACAAATAATGTACGTTTCTGGTAGAATGTCCCTTAGATATCACTATTTTCCTGTCAAATTAATTTAATAAAGATCTATTCATGTCTTGGCACATCAATACGTTCTTCTGGAGTGAATTTAAGAGTGGAATGTGTTTGAATTCGACTTACTTTTTGAGCAGGTGGATTTGTGAACAGCGGAAAGTAAATGATCAGTCCGTGGATCCTTAGGGTCCAAGTTACCGATCTGTGAGCAGAGAATGTAAATCAATTTAACCTAATTAAAACACCTTAGTTATTTTGCAACATGAACATACATAAACATATGCTAATAAACTATAAATTAACAACACAACAACTACAAATCCTGAAGCTAAAGGCAAGGAGTTTGTCAGTTTAATTCCCAATTCATTAAAGGAAATAAATCTCGTACAGCAACAAATGACGCGTGATGATGGAAAATGAGCCACAAGGAGGAAAACACGTTTGGGTAAAACTTTTACAATGCAGTCGGAAAAAAGCAGAAATGGCTACTTCAGAGACGAATAAGAAAATATATTGAAGTCTTACCCTGTCACCTCGCTGCCTCCCCACACTGTGCTTGCATTAATTAAAGATTGCTCTTAAATATAAAATTCTTCAAAGCTCCGCCTTATATTAGAGGTCTGCCTTTGGTTGCTGTAGCTGTCAATCATTAACAGATGCGCGTCATGTGTTTTAATGCTTGCATATGCGCATGATGGCAATATCACTTAGGATAAAAAACATAGCATTATGAAAACATATATAACCATACATATATAACATTATGAAAAATACGATTCTGATTTATCTCTTTGAATAAATGAGTGTTCTAAACTATTTATAAAGCTGTTATAATGGATAACAATCATACTAACATTGGAGTCCATTGATGCACACGTACTGTACATGCACAAAACGGATGTTTTCTTACACAACCTTTTGGATACAGTGAAGTGTAAATTTTCTTTTGAAGCACGGCAAATATGTTATTTAAGTAGATAAAGATGTATGAACGTAGATGAACATATAAATGCATGCATGTAAAAAAACTATCCCGCTTGGTACGCCCAGACCTACCTGAAACGAAAGCGAAACCGCATTGACTCTTCGGTTTGCTTCAGCACGGACGGTACGTGTTTGTCTCTTTTGTTAACTTATAATTGTTTTCAAAATGATTAATCATGACACGAAACATGTATAGATGATGTGATATGAACAGAAAGTCACTTATGTCACACAAGGTACTGTTAGATTGATTTGTTATTAACAAGGTATTGCCGTGTAGACTAGGTTATATCACAAGTGAAAGTGTAGCCTATTGTCAACATTGTTCTCGCCATTTTAAAAAGACCAAAAGCTAGATTATGATAAAGTACTTAGCTAAATATTAAATCTTCGATGTGATTCATCCCTACATCAACCCATATCAATATGCCAACAAATATGGTCAATACACTTAATAAATCCATAGTTGATATACAAGTTCATACTAAAGCTTGACTTTAGTTTAACGTTAGGTTTAACTTTTTAGACTTTGATTATCTGTTCAGTGAGATACAAATCTTCAAGAATTACATAAAAAGAGTATTTTAAAGGTTTCCCGTATTGTAAACAAGTGTCTAAGGAAACAATGCTTTCTGTTTCCTCACAGGTGTTTACATCAATAGAAATGTCTACTGAGGTAAAGGAAGTGCTTCAACAAAGAGTTTATTATTATTATTATTAGATTCTATATTCCGTATCATAACCGTTTTATATGTCAACTCAGGATTTCTGTGAGCTGGACTGTGAGTCTTTGGGACCCCTGGACAATGTACAGATGGAGTTGAACAAATGCAAGGTGTGTGAACGACTTGTAAATCTGGACAGCTGTCAACCTGATTACAAACCCTAAATTATTGTGTCTTGCTATTTGTCCACAGAAAACGTATAAAGCATTACTGAATGAGCAAAAAATACTGAGAGACGGCATTGACAACAACAAAGAATTTGCTAAGAAATTTAGAGAGCGAGCTGAGGAGCAGAAAGAGTCAAATGAGAATGAAAACAAGAAGCGAAGTAAAAAAATTCAGTCTGAGAAGGTCTGTTTTATTAAATATAGACTATTTTGATACTATCTATCTATCTATCTATCTATCTATCTATCTATCTATCTATCTATCTATCTATCTATCTATCTATCTATCTATCTATCTATCTATCTAAATGGGATCTTCTGTGTGCAGGAGAAATGCAGGGCTATAGAAAGTCATAATACTAAGCAACGGATGGAGATCCTGAAAATCAAAGAGGAGTTGCAAAGCCTGGACAATAAAAACAGCAGCCTGAAAAAGCAAACTGAGGTTTCAAAATATTCTCACATTTCATAGTTGCTGAACTAAATGGACTGTGTGACTTTAGATTATACTATCAGTACAATACATGCTGATAGAGAATGTATGCCGCAATAACCTTAATGGCCTTCTATATGGTCTCCTTTATTCTTATAAATTTAAAAAATAAAGAAAATAAAGATAAAATGATTCATAAACTGGGGGATTAATGCTCTATGACTCCACAGATCTCCACAGCAGTGCCCGAGAGGAAGGTTGTATTTGAGGGAAAGACAAAAAATGGTGCACATGCTACGAGTTTTGATGTGAAATCCCAAATAGTTTATCCGATGGAAGGTGGAACGGCCCTGATCACCTTTGAGGAGGAGGATGGTATGTAATAGTTTCAACTTTTGTCATCATCACATTAGAAAACAATAGCTTTGTGCAAACTCAGAGCCTATCCTTTGTACTTGAACTGAGCGGGGTGATATAACTTACGACCAACAGCTTTGACAACTTTAGTATGCCTGAGTTCAGTGTATTCGAAAATCAGTATAGGTGAGAAATAACAGGATGACCTACTTTTCCATTGAGATTTCCAAGACCCCAAAAACAGTAACAAGGGCCAATTTTTAGAAATTGAGACTTATATCCTAAAAGCCGAATAAAAGCTTTTCACTAATGTATGGTTTTCTACGATAGGACAACAATGGGCTCATACAACAATTTTAAGAGAACAAAAACATTTTATATTAAGAAAAATCATCTTTAAAGTTGTCCAGATTCAGTTCTTAGTAATGCATATTACGAATCCAAATGCAAGTTTTAGGTAGTTTTTTAGGTAGGAAGGTAATTTACTGAATTTTTTCATGAAACATGATCCTCAAGTTATATTTAATTTAATCTGATTAACAGAGAGAATGTTTTTTTTAACACATTTTTAAACAATAGTTTTAATAACTAATTTCTGCCGTAATGAGAGCAATTTCAAAAGCTATAAAACTGGGTTAATTATGAGGCAAGTTTGGTTAATTAAGCAAATCCTTGGCAGTGTTAATTTTGTCAGCAAATTTTTATTTAGTTTTAATTTTTTGACTAAAATTTCATTTTAGTATTAGTCACGTTCTAGTCTTCTAAATCAAGTTTTAGTTGACTAAACTTTATAAGATTTTAGTTGACTAAATCTACTCTAGATTTAGTTAACTAAAATATATTTGGTTAAAAATATTGTATACATTAAGTTATACAAAATATTCTAACTTAAAATTAAATAAAACAGTCTCATAATATATAGAATATAGCTTTTCCATTGAAGACCAAAATTTTGATATGCATTGTTTATTTGTATCATAAATAATATGTAAATGTAATGTCAGTCTATAGGCTACCAAGCTTTACTGTTGTAGTTGGTATTAGTAAAGTAAATGACAGAAGACTGGCAAATGTTATCCTGTAAAATGTGCACTCAGTCCCATGGCTGTGTTAACTCACATAAAGGAATACTAAAGCAAAGATGTATGTCATGTCATGCATCACACACTAAGATGAATTCTGATTGGATATTTTCTAAAAAGTGTCCCTCAATCACATTCTCATATCATTTTTATCAGTCAATGAAAATATCAGTATATTTTTATTATAATTTTCGTCATTATCACTTAATTTTGATTTAGTTTTTGTCTCGTTTTGATCGGTAGAAACTTGTTCGTCAGAAAAATTATGACTGATCATTGGACAAAAGTGGTTTGCTCTGTAGGCAATCGAGAAAAAAAAAGTCCTAAGGGGGTTAATAAAATGGCTAATAATATTGACCTTAAAGTTTATTTAAAAAACAAAAAAACATTTAAAACAGCTTTTTTTTTCAGCTAAACTAAAAGAAATAAGGCTTTTTTCAGAAAAAAAAAATGTTGTAAAACTTTAATTTAGGTCAACAAATCATGCTTTTAACTACTCGCTTATCACCTGCTTCTTATTAAGATAAAAACTGTTCATTAGTGATTATAAAATGTGATCTTATTTAGCTAGCCAAAACCTTAACCCAACTTCTACTCTACTAACAATTAATAAACAGTTAATTAGTATTTTGTTAAGCTAGTTGTGTTAGTAAATGGTTTAATACTGTGAATTCTGACCTAAAGTGTTACCAAAACAACTATAGGAAATACTGTTAAAATGTACTTGCTCCATTAAACATTGCTTACTATTAAAGCAAAGGATAAAATTTTCACAGGAATACTAATAATTTTGGGCTATAGATACATATATAAACCTAACTATTTACTGTTAACCTGTGTTCAGTGGCCCAGAACATCTTGAGCCAGCAGAAGCATTTGGTGGCACTCGGGGAATGTGGCATCACTGTACAGGCTAAACCCATTCAGTTCCTGGTACCCGGCTATGTTGAGGTAATGGACACAAGCTGACCTTCGTTTTCCTACTGAACTGCCTATTTTGGATTGCATTGTGTTTCAGTGGGCTAGCATGATGTGAAATGTTAGATTCTCCCGTCTTTTAGATGGAAACTCAGGTTTGCTCACACAGAATCTTAGTCTCCAACTTACCAATAGAAGAACCAGAAGAGCGAATACTAGACAAACTGGACATCCACTTCTCTAGGAAGAGGAACGGAGGCGGTGAGGTGGAGGAAACAGACATGCTGCACGACTCCAAGACTGTGGTCATCACATTCGTGGAGGATAACGGTACATTTACCACATCCATTTAGGCGGTGAAGTCTAGATGGCATAATCACAGCTGCATCATTTTTGCATGGTCTCCCCGTATTTGTGTGGGTTTCCTCCGGGTGCTCCAGTTTCCCCTACAGTCCAAAAATAAGATCCCATAATGCAATTCACAACTGTAAATAATCGAACAACACTGTGAATCACAAAACACAGAAACTGTTAATTAACATATATTTTTATAATGTAGGGATAGATGTAAATAAAATACAATTTAATGGGTAATTTATTAAGTAATATGACTAATATTCTGTATATTTACTCTTTTTACATTACCATGATGCTTGGGCTTAGGGTTGAGTTGGGGTAGACGTTATTAAAATACTATTAATGCATAATTTAATAAATAATAGTAATAATTCTCATTAACTTCCAGCCGCAGCTGTATCCCTTTTAGTAACAACTCTTTCAGGCTGACACATATCAGCTTACAAGGGCGACAGAACAGATCCTGATGCTTCTTTCCTCTTTTGTCTGCAGTTGCCAAACCTCTCACAGACAAACAGGAGCATGAGGTAGACTTTGGTAAAAGGAAGTACAAGGTGAAGGTCACTCCATTCCTCAATGGCAAGATTTCAGAGATGAAGGTAAGAAGCAGAGCATGTCAACATCATTTAAACTGTTGGTAACACTTTATTTTGATGGTCCATTTGAGTATTAGTAGACTGTCTGCTTAATATGTGTTGATACTGCTCCTTCAACAGACATTTAACTGACTATAAGAAACTTTGCAAGTACATGTCAACTTACACTAACCCTAACCCCAACCTAACAGTCTAATTATATGAGAATTAGTCGACATGTAGATGCAATGTAACAAATGGACTACCAAAATAAAGTGTGACCAAACTGTTAAATCCCTCCTATTGTGCTATGCTGTAACAATATATCCATAAATGTAGTTTTTCATATTTTGTCATTCAAGATTTTTTTCATTTTTTTATGGTTTTAAATTGCAACTAAGGGTACTGTGAGTTCCTCAAACAGTGCTTGATGTTGAAAAGTTTGAAAAAGGGACTTTTATTGACATTTTGAATAGTTTGAAGTGATATGTCGCCTGGGTTGGTGTTGTTAATTATGTTAAAAATGTCTGGTAATAAGGAAGCGCCATGGTGGCGCAGTGGTTAGCACGATCGCCTCACAGAAAGAAGGTTGCTGGTCCGAGCCTCGGCTGGATCAGTTGGCATTTCAGTGTGGAGTTTGCATGTTCTCACTTTGCTCATTTGGGTTTTCTCCTGGTGCTCCTGGTTTCCCCCACAAGTCCAAAGACATGCGGGTATATTGGTGAATTAAATAAGCTAAATTGTCCGCAGTGTATGAGCGTGAACGCAGGAGTGTATGGGTGTTTCCCAGTCTTGGGTTGTGGCTGAAAAGGCTTCCGCTACGTGAAACATATGCTGGATAAGTTGACGGTTCATTCCGATGTGATGACCCCTGATTAATAAAGGGACTAAGCTGAAAAGAAAATGAATAAATGAATGAATGAATGAATGAATGAAGCCTTGTAATAACCTGTCAGTACACTCAATTCCCTCTAAATTTGTTTGTATACAATATATTGGCCCAAATGACTAAAATGTCAATTAGTCACTTGGCTAAACTACTCAGTTGAATCTTCAACATCAAAAGTCAACAATAATAAAAATAATAATAATATGCTGTAAATAATAGCATGCGAATCATGAAAAATTGAACCTTTGAATTAACAGATATTTTTTCAGTGTATTGTTGAAGCCTGCAGTTTTGTTCTGAAATTCTACTACAGTAAATGAATCTTTATAACAGTCTTTTTTTTGTGTGCATTTTCTCGTAATACACATTGCAAAATGTAAGGTCAAAAATCACTGTAAATGTCTCATAATATAAACTGTAGCATCTTCGCTTTTCTCATTGTGTGAAAAATGTTCACCTAAAAATGAACATTTTCCAGTTTCCAACCCTGATTTGTTGTTTCGTAACACACACACACACACACACACACACACACACACACACACACACACACACACACACACACACACACACACACACACACACACACACACACACACACACAAAAATCTTAATATAAAAAAATCTGAATGTTTTCCTGAATGAAGAAAAAGTCTCCCACATCTCAATTAACAAAATTATCATTCTAAGATTTTTAGATTTTTAGGTTAACTTCTACTCGAAGGTTTAATTCAGTTCAGAATTCTTATTTCTAAGAATCTGCTGTGCTCTTGATTGTCCAGAGGGCCCAGATGTTATGATATTGGTCCTCTATAGCACATAGGCTTTCGCAGGTAGAACTGTAGTATCAGTCCAAAAATCAGACAACGACTCCATTTATCCCACACTATGATCATTGAAACATGCAGATGGTTTACATTCAAGCAACACATCACATGTACACTTTAACACCAGTAAGTGGACTGTTTTTCTCTTTCAGATCAGCAATTCAGTGTGTATGCGCACAGTTCTGCTTACGGGCATCCCTGACATCATGGACAAAGACAACCTGCAGGACAACCTGGAGATCCACTTCCAGAAGACGTCTAACGGTGGTGGAGAGGTGGAGGCTATCATCTACAACCCTCTGGGCCAAACCAGCACTGCCGTGTTTGATGAAGACTCTCCTAAAGACAGCCAGACTGAATGAGAATGCTAATGCTGCCTGCACACAACATAATAAGAGAATGAAGCAGACTCCTTCAACTCCTGATTCCGTCTGTATACAGAATGACTATGCAATTTCTATTCACTGCGATCTTTACCTCATGAGTCTTTAAAGAATGTAGACTATATAACAATCAGTCTCTCCAGGAGGTTTTTGTGAGTTTAATGGATCTTGAATTAAAAAAAAAAAAAAAAGTCTAACAAGATTTTTCTGTATTTTCACAGCAAAACAAAAGATTTTATTCCTATAATGCCATAGGTTTGGAGAAAAGCTGGTCTTTTGGGCAACAAATTGCATAAAATAAATATCCTAGAAAAATCTTGGAGGGACTGAGCAATGTACTACATTAATGGATACTTTTTTCTCTCGTTTAAAGTTCTTAGTTTTATTTCTTGTTATCTGATAAATATATGTTGGCAGATTGAGGTATGGTGATGGGTTAATCTTAAAACATTTCTTTAAATGATTGCTATCTGTACATATAAACAACAAAACCTTGAACATGGCCCTAAATAAATATGCAAAAACTTTCATTGTGATGTTTATGATACATGAAGTAGAAAACATGAAACCAAATCCAAAACCTAACCACAAAAATACAACATGCACATCAAAATGTAGTGTTATTTTATTAATTTAAATCAAATTTAGAGTTAAGACATATGACGAAATACTTCCATGGTGTGTTAATATTTAACAATATAAATAACAGATCTTTTTTGTGGTTATTGCAAAAATAAAAAGCATTATTAAAAAGTGTCTCAACATTCTAAAATAAATTCACCAAGATTAAACAGTTTTATTATTTATTAATTTATTTAAAGATCTATTTCGGAACAAAAAATATAATTATCATGTTAAAATATTTAAAAACATTATATAGCCACAGAATATTGATGTCAAAACTATGCGTGTATGGAAGCAAACAAGTGTTAAAAATTAATTTGTAGTTGGCTGGCAGAAATGTGGCATTTATGAGTAAAAATATTAAACGGGCATTTGCTCGATTTTTTATTGTTCTATTTACAATATCATTTACTTCAAAAAATAAACACTAGGCAAATAAATACACTGTGGCGATAAGGAAGAGAATAAATAAGACAAAAGTATAAAAATATATATAAAACTAAAATGTTCAGGATATTTTTAAACAATACAGCCAACCAAGTGTTTAACCAGTCATGAAACTAAAACTACTGCATGTAAAGACTATAGAATAAGATTATTCATTCATTCATTTTCTTTTCGGCTTAGTCCCTTTATTATTCAGGGGTCGCCACAGAAGAATGAACCGCCAACTTATCCAGCATATGTTTTACGCAGCGCCACGAGACACCCCTAAAATAATATTATTTAACATATTACTATTTATTTAAAAAAAACTGAAAAAAGCTAGGTGATAAATACTGGCTATAAAGAAGGGAATAACCAGTCCATGGAAATAACCAACAGAAAAGTAATGAAACAAAATATAACCTAAAGTCTAACGTTACAGGACATTTCCAAACATAATACAACCAGTTATTACACATAAAACTAAAACTACTAATCAAAAGCCATGTTACATATTTGGAAGTAAATAGAGTTTATTTGTAAAAATACAGTAACAGGAAAAAGTAAAGACATCTTTGAAAACCATCAGAAAACAAAACAAACCAAACTTGAGTGCAGCAGCGCCCCCTTCAGCTCAATACAGACAAAAAGATGAGAGAGATGGCAAAGAGAAACGAACTCCGTCAGGCACTTAAACTAAAGAAAAGAGCCGTGGAGTAGAGTGCAAGCATTAAAACACTCGTTTAAAATGAGGGGGAAAACAACATGACAGTTCATGAAGAAAAACAACAGCGATATGCATTAAAGCCATGTAACTGACGTTACTAAAACGACACCGGAAATAAGTTAAAACCAATAGGCTACATTCTACATGTCCAGCGAACATCACATACTTCACACACATGTATATACAGTTCACATTGTTGTTCCAGATATTACATCTTTAACACACACAGCCTAGTGACGATTATCACATCAATTTCTAGTGGTCTCTAGAGCTGCTATGTCTGGGCCGTCATGATGCCCTTGTGCGTGCATAAGTTCAGCTCATGGTTTTAAATCATCTAAATCTGGCGGTAATACATTGCCCTTGAAGTAGCATAATTGTTTATGATATATTTTTTTTAAAATAACATTTTAGTGTGTTTTTATCAAGAAACAGCACAGTTTGAATGAATGCTAACTGAATACTTAGCTCTCCTGATACAGAAAAAGTATGACACTAGATTCTTTTATTCTACACAAACGGACAAGATGCAATGCAATGTCTGCATTAAAATGGCAGCGTGCTGAAGTCTAATCCTCAACTGCCTGATTTCTTAAAGGAACACTCCACTTTCTCGCAAAATGCAAATTTGCTCAAGAAAGCTCAAGTAGTGTCAAACAGTTGTGTTTTACCATTTTTAAATCCATTCAGCTGATCTTTGGGTCTGATGGGAGCACTATTAGCCTAGCTTAGCATAGACCAACAAAATAAATTAGACCATTAGCACCTCGCTCAAAAATGACCAGTTTTAATAATTTTTCTTGATTGTTCTGTTGGTAAATTGTGTACTAAAGCCGATGTTGGTACTTTCTAGATCGATTTAACTAGGAACTATACTCTCATTCAATGACCTGACTTGGCTATCCTGCTGAAAAAAAAAAACAGCTTAAAACAGCCCAGGCTGGTTGGCTGGTTTTAGCTGGTCGATTAGCCTGGTTTGAGAGGGGTTATAGTGGGCAGATGACGAGCTAAAACAAGAGTGACCAGGCTGGTCAAGCTTGTTTTAGCTGATCATTTTCCAGTCTGATCAGCCAAGACCAGGCTGGAAATGGCTGGAAACCAGCCTGGAAATGGCCAAACCCCTCTTAAACCAGGCTGATTAAACAGCTAAAACCAGCAGTTTTTTTTTCAGCAGGGTAAGCTAAGCTAAAAGTGCTACTGCCAGATCTGCTGACTGGATACAAAAAATGTTAAATCTGTTTAACTGTAAGGGAGTCGTAAAATGAGTTCCTTTAAAATCATTACTTTAATATAAAAATATAATTAGCTTTAGAAACAAAAGACTGAAGCATTTTAGATAATAAGGAAACAACAAAGCATGACAGACTTTAAAAAAACAAAAGTTTCCACACTGGATCAGTAACTACTGCGAGGAGAACACATTTGCTTGTGCCTTTGCTTATATATGGCTTATGACGCTTGTGCTCGACAGGTTTAAGGACGAATTCTAGTGCTACAAATTGTGCAATAAAGACCTCTATAGCAAGCAGGATGTAAGCTGGTTTGGACAGACTGCATATATTTAATAGGTGGTTTTCTATTTCGAAAGGTTTTTGTTATTGTAGAATAACAGTCCTGTCTGTGAAGTCCACACACACAAACCGGTGAGATGAGAGAGGTTTGAGATGTGAAACCTGCATCCAATCGGTTAGACGACCAGTGGAGCCCAGTCCCTCTGAAGACGTCCATACTGTAATATGGAGCGAAAGTAAAATTCTGAATGTAATTGGAATGTTTCAGATGCTTAAAAAAAAGCACGTCTTGTATTACTGGAAAACGCAATAATGACTTTAAAAGAGAATCTCCATACCTGGATGTCAGTGAGCTCCTTGTGGAATCGCTTGGCAAGGTCTGGCCCATTCTTCATTGTAGGAATTTGGTAAGTCTAAAATAAAAAAGTCAGATTGACAGATGTATTCATTTAGTGCAAAAAGGCTTTTGGCATACATGTTCAACAACATGAGTTACGGTTAAGAGACAGTGTGTAGTCATTACAAAGCTTAAGTATTATCTTTATACAAGTACATATGTAGTAGTAGTGACACTGACTTGTCCTTTGTAGAGCAGACTGCCAACGGGACACACCACACATGCAGTGCCCGAACCGAAGACCTCCAGCACCCGACCCTCATCTAAAGCCCCCAACAGCTCCTTCATGAAAACTCTCCGCTCAGTCACTTTGAATTCCCCCTAAAAAAGCCACACAACTATTAAAAAAATAGTATGAACAGAGACTTTAATACAGATTATATATTATGTGTCATTTATAATAAGTCATTACAGAACTGTGAGTACATTAAGCATTTTCCATTCATTTTCTTTAAACTGACATAAAACACATGTATAATTTACAGTTAAGTGAATCCATTATTAATGTCAAATAGTGAAAGATGCTGAACTTATTGTTGAACTTAACCACTAACAGTTGACGTCTTGCATCATGTTGTGCTTTAGCTTCAGATGATAACCTCAATCCAACCACCACATGGCATGTTTAATCTAGGATTTTATGTTTTCATTAGATTATTGTTTTTATTTTAAAAGTGAATGAGAAATTCACTTTTATAAATTTACAATATAATTAATCTACTATTAAATATTTATGTTTATAAACATTTTTAACAAATTCCTGTTTCTGTAAAAAATTGAAGAGTAATTCAAAGAAAAAAAAATTACATTTCCGGTTAAATTGCTATTTTTTTAAAACCAAAAGCAATTTTATAGATATAAATAATAAAATGAAAACAATTTTCGCTTTAAAAAAATAATAATAATAAAAAATAAAAAGCTTAACTCCAAGATATAAAAACAGTGATATTCCTGTAGACATGATTAACTCATAGATATTCTGGATTTTTTCTCTACACTGTTATTGGGCTTAAATTGCAATGCATTTAAGCCTTTCAGTTTAAAAAAACAACCAATTTAAAACCATTTAAGGAAAAAAACAAACAATATTGCAAAAACTATTATATGACTATACAAATACTTCATAAAAATATAAAATGCGTCATAATTCTGTTAAAACTAATGTAAATGCTATTAAGTATAATCTATTATTCAGATCACATTTCCTTTTACTTAACGCAAACTTTCCCTTTTTTACATCATCATCTGCTCTTGTTTCTCACCCATTCTCTGGCGAGGTCCAGCAGAGACTGTCTGGTGACTCCTGGAAGAATGACGCCATCAAGTGGAGGAGTGACCAGCTCTTTTTCTGAAAACACACACCAATGCCCATGAATTGAGATGCACTTATGTGCATCACCAGCAGAGGGAGACATTTTGTATGCAATAACAAAATTCGACTACATGTCAACACCTTGCCAAACTAAACAGCAGGGCACACTGCATGACGAACTGATTCCCATAATGCAATACCCTTGATTTGACCTGCTATTTTGAGAGTGAGAAACAAGCCAGAAACAATATGGTCTCTTTAAGTCTCCCATTTCATAAAAAAAATGGTTCCATGACTTATTCATTCATGATTTTAAAGACTTTACAAAAACACATTCTTCCCTTAAAAGTGCTATTCCTAGCTAATTAAATAAATCATTTAAACTTAAAATGAGGATTTTTTACTATAGAAAGCTCCAAAATTTGAGATTTTGTTAATATGAGACTTTGTGTGTACAAATGGCAATAATCTGAAATTAAGCTATTCATGACTGCAAGAATCCCCTAAGATACCGGACACAACTAAAATCACTTAAGTAACCAGCTTTTCAGCAGGAGCCTCAGAAAACACAACTTTTTCCCCTTAAAAATAAATATCACAATTCCCTAACGTTTGAATCTTTTTAACTAAGGCAGGGCAAGGTATTTCCCTTTTCACTGCCATTTGAAAAAAAAAAAAGAATATAAGCATAACCACATCACAAAGTCATTCTCTCAATAACAGACGGGTATGCAGGCAGTAAATCACTGATCCTTGAATGTCTCACAAAGTTATACGTTTATTAATCAGTACTGTCATCAATATAAACATAACAGCTTTTTTTCAGACTTGTTTTCAGGCAAGGTGATTAAGATTGCTCTACATTCGACGCCCAGAAATCTTGTCTATTTAAAACAATCAGAGGACCACTGAGCGTCTGCTAAAGTGTTTTAGAAAAGTGTGCCATATGCATCAGGCTGAGACTAGGTCACCTGCTACAATTTTTCCAGCATAGTAAAGCTCTAGCAAAGTAGAGTAAATATTGTCTATAGAAACAGCAGCCACAATATTTCAATACTTGCTCTAAAAAAGCAATTAAACAAGCAACACCATGTTTCTAACTAAATGTGACGTCAAGACGCTCTTTAATATGGAAAAGATACCGTTTAATGAGAGTTTTGGTTTAATTATTTACGAAGGCGACGCGTAAAATTTCTATTTTGGAAACTATTTCTATTTTTGTGACATTGCAGCATAACATTAGCATATACTACTGTGAGAAAGATCACCTCAGGTAAAGATTATTTGCTTTTTTCAGTGTTAAATGCTCACAATAAAGCTGCCTTTCCAATGTACACGTCATTCGGACATGACTGTCAGAATATCCCCCCTTGTGACAGTTGCACAGAATTTTCAGTTTAGTCATGCACTGGGAGAGAAGCTGATTCATGCGGTGTCTAAAATAAAGGAGAGCAAAAAGAGCCTTTATTCTCAGTGCGTTCACCAAGGTTGAATAAATGAATGAATACTAGAATCTCGTAGACCGCTAATCATTTTGGAGGGAATGTAGAGGCAACATAAAAAAAACATAATTTATTTATTACTCATTTATGAATAGTAATGTTTTATTAATATAGAAGAATATAAAGAACAGAAGAATATAAAAAAATAATAATAATGAAAAAAGTACTATTTCTCATCTTGCACACACGGACCTGCTCGGACAACACTATTATACATCACATCTGGTCAACCAGTCACATGGGGTCTAGTCGCAGAATATTTTAATGTATTCGCAGCTCAAATCGGAACCGAATTTTCCGTACACGGAGAACTCCACGCAACTCTCAGACTACTCTCCATTGGAAATGAATGACTTCCAGTCTGTTGCTTGTCGTGTGCAGGGGAAAGGCGGCTTGAGAGTTTAAATATCATTTTTATGTGACATTTATCACCATATTAATGAAAGACTGTTTAAAAATGAAATTCAGAACTGTAATTCAGCACAAACCAACAACATCAGTCCCTTAGTAGCCTATTAATAATGATGATAATGAGGTTTAATATGTATTAATTCAATTAAAAGTCTTAACAATTTCATTGGGAGTGACGTGGCCTGTATTTAAGTGTTTCTGTCATGCCATTAGTGACGATGCTTTTGGTGGAAAGAGACAAATTGTTTGAATCTTATCGCGATGTATGTTGTTGGGACAGTGTTAAACTTTGTTTTTACCTTATATTAGGATGTATTTTTCCACACTACTTGCATTTGATTGTTGGTCAAGACTCTTGCCTCTTATTTGGTCACGCTCTGTTTTAATGGATTTCACCAAACTAGGACGAGTATTCAAATGCTTCTTGAAGTGTTTAAAGGTGGACAAATTCAAAGTGTTATAGACCACATTGACACTTGTATTTAGTGTTATTTACTTACGATAAGATTGTCAAAAGCAAATCATTACACCAGATGAAAATGAGGCCTAAATGCAGCTGAACCACACACTTCAACTGCAGAAGCACTCTGGAAGCGGTTCACCATCTCACCTCCTTTCTTTGTGGTCCAGTAGATGAAGAGATTCATGGTGCCGACCTCAGTGATCTCCTCACTCTCTCCATACAGCCAGAGGACCTGCTGACAGCCTTGCTTTGCCGCCTCATTCTGGACAGCGATGGTCGGCCCATAGTTGCTGACAAACAGAAGCCACAATTGCAGCATTTAGACCCGCAGCATTACTACATTTAAACACACATCCGAGAAAGAAAGTGCTTTATAATCAACAGTAAAACACTGTGATTCATTATATAAACAGTCTACACATTATCTGAACACTAAAGGGCAGCAGCAGGAGCTTTGCTAAAGTGGGCCTTAAATGCTTAATGTGACGGTCAGATAAGGCCTGATAAGAAGGCGAGGAGCAGCTGATAAAAAGCACATAAACAGAAGCAGAGCCGCATTAAAGTGAAGGGTGAGGATTCCCTAGTTGCAATCCCTAGTTGCATGTGACTAGACTAGTAAAGCTACTTCAATTCTCTGAACAGTCTGACGTAGAATCGCTACTCCTAGACTCCAAACTGGCAAATGTAAAACACAAATGTTTGGCTCGTGGCATTGAGCGAGGCAATGGAGTGTGACAAATAACTAAACTCCGGGGCAGATCTGGAATGGCTCTTCTGGAATTTGTGATCTAACCATTAAAACAAAAAATGAATCACTATCCTGCAATGAAAAAGTGAAAATTGAATAAGCAACCAACTGGTGTTTGTTACTGACTGTCAACTAAAAGTAGTTAGATGGATTTGAGTGAAAGAAAAAAAAATATATATATTTGTATATATGTGTGTGTGTGTGTGTGTGTGTGTATGTATATGTATATATATATATTTATATGTATATGTATATATATATGTATATGTATATGTATATATATTAAGGGCACTTGTAAAATGTGTACTTTAGAACTTTAGATTGGGATGGGATAATGTTGCTGTTTTGGAACAAACTGGCACAAACTTCCTGGCTTTTCTTTCTCTGATGGAATTCTGTAGATGCATGTCTCCTCGGCAGTTAGTATCCCATTGCACAACAATTTTCTTCCATTTGGGCTTAAAAAATAAATTACTCAGCTTGTGACTTGGCGGTCAGTGGGAGATGGTAAACTGGGAGTGATAGTCTTGTCCAGCAGGGGAGTGTTCCCTTATTGGCAACATCATGCCAAAGCTATCAATAGTACTCTGTAACCAACAAAACAACTTTGTGGCTCAACACTACTTGCTTTTGTTTATGATTATACAACTAACAATAAAAATAAAATGGAAGTTTGAGTAATGCTTTTATGCATATGCTTATATTGAAGCTGCACAATCCTGGACATACTAAAAAACCACACTGTTTGATTAAAATGAAGATCACAATTCTGAACACACACCAAGACAAAAAAAAAGTTATGTAATAGAGATTCGAAAAAAAATGCTGATGTCGTCTGTTTAAAAATCTAAATTAATTAAAAAAATTATGAATGAATAAAGGAATGATTTAAAGGCTTACTTATAAAAACCTCATTTCATTACTAGATGAATCAGTATTTTGAATGAAACTCTTGAACTAACGTTTCACTGACGCATATTTTTAACAGTTACATAGTACCTGATTTAATTTTTATTTTAAGCTTTCAATTTCTTTCAAAAGTTGTTTAAATCCAAACTATTTTGTTTTATCCCAAAGAAATACAAATAAGGCATGACTGAAAAGTCCTTTTAATTGCCATTCTCAGAAACTCTTTTTGTCTGGGTTAAATGCAAACCTGAACTATAAGGCTGTGACAGAACTTGTTTAAGTTTTAATAGACATAGCTGAATCATTGTCATTAAGTAACAATATTGGTTGGGAGCTTAAATGAAGATCAGAATCTTTTACAACTAACCATTCAGCTCTGTATGTGATCGCACTTATTAAAAACTCACCCGCCCATTTTGTACTCTCCGACGCCACCCCTCCAGGCCCGGACGTATCGAGGATCTGCCAGCAAGGACACCGGATTAAAACTTCCAGTGGCAAAATAAGGTCCAACGGGTCCAACGATGACAAACAGCAACGCGTGACCAGCTCGAGAAACACCTAGTGAAGGCTGAAACAAGAAGAAAGATAAAAAAACACTAAAATCCTCAATCTGGTGACTTTGTAACATCTAACGCTTCTTACTTCGGTTCCTATGAATGTTGGTCTGATGTACAGGCTGGCATCTGTGGAGTAAGGAACCCATTCTTGGTCAGTCTCAACCAGCTTATTGATGCATTTCAGCAGTTCAGCCTTATCAAACAACTGAAAGAGAAGGAGAGAATACGTTAGGAATATCCAGCCCACATATTGAGTTAAGTGAAATATGATAATATCACTGATCATCATCCATTAAGCTGAAGTAGCTGTGTAATGAAGACTAACAGGCAGACAACTCCTTTCAGCACTCCGATGCATGCGCTCCATATTCAGCATAGGCCTGAAGAGGCGGATGTTGTTGTCCACTCCCCGAAAGGCCTTCATACCCTCAAAGAGCTAAAAAAAAAAAAACATGTACAAGATGAAATATATATATGTTAGGGGTGTCAAAAATTATATTTTCTAGTTATTTAGTAGCAGACCAGAAATGGTTATGATGTACTGTCAATTTTCTGATGTCACATGCCTCAGTAGCATACTATGGCGAAGTAAGGAAGCAAGATGCGTAAGTGAGTAGCATACCATTGTGGGTAATTTAAAATGATTCAACTATATGCCTAATGCACATCTTAGTCACTGTTGAATATTCCTGGAACAGTGTTTAACTGACAGTAAAGGTACAGTAGAACCCAAGATCGACCCAAACATTGTTTAAAAAAAAAAAACTTAATCTCTTCCACACAATGAGCAGTGGAACACAATGCTGCACATTTCATTTTTGCTTGTTTGATTGACCTTTAACACAGCGTTTTCTTTGAGCAAGTGAAATTAAAGCTTCATTTCATAATTCTGACTCCTTGTAATTAATAACAAAATTGTCTATATGAAAAGTAAAACTGAAAATCGATGATTGATTCATATACTTTTTATTCAACAAATGTGTCAGTAATGTTGGTTCACGTACAAGTTTGTCCATGTCAGTTGCCGTCTTAAACTTGTCATAACTACAGGATTCAGACTAGTAAAATGCATGCACATCTTTTTAGAACTTAATTACAACTTGAAAACTAGTAAAAGTGAATATCGGAGAGCTCTGACTAGTACTACCTTGCAGATTGATTCATTCTGAGTCTGTGAGCTGTCATCTCAAAATTATAGTAATCTTTTTTTTTTATCCAAATATGTTTATTGGGAATATGCCAAAAATTATTTAGGATGCAAAAGTACAATACATATCAAGATATTCCTTTTTTTTTTTTTTTTACAATGAGCAAAAACAATTATGAAACAATTGCCCTCGATTTGTTTCTGCTTTAGATACACAGCCATTTTATTTTAGCTAATTAGCTTTGCGAATGTACATAAACAACTGTATTTACATAATCAAAGAGAAATCTGCAGACCTTTGAAGGAATAGTTCACCCAAATAATGAAAATTCTGTAATCATTTACTCACCTTCCACTTGTTCCAACCTGTTTCAGTTTATTACTTCAGCTAACAACAAAGGAAGACATTCTGAACAATGGTGGTAAAAAAACGCCACTGACTTTCATACTATGGATGTCAATGGCTGTTAATTTCCAACGTTCTTCAGAATATATTTTGTGTTCAACAGAAGACAGAAACTCATTAAAGTTTACAACTCCTTGAATGTGACTAAATTCAAACTTTTGGGTGAACGATCCCTGTAATTACCACATTTTTACCCTCACTGTTAAATCCACTAAACGAGAAAAAGTGACATTTTTTGTGCTCTCCCACCTCTATTGAGTAATGTAGGGCTGAGCATGCTGGGTGAAGGGACAGATTCTGGAAGGGCTTGATCTGAGGGTTCTCCCATCCTCCTGCTGCAGACCAGCTGATGGTCAGCATGTGGTCTGAAAACTGCTTGCCAAACACGAGCGTTGACGGATCTGGCTTTGGCTTCAGCACCGAGCTCTTCTCGATGGTCAGATCTGCAGCCTGACATAAACAATTGGGAAGACAGAGAGAGAGAAAGAGACAAAAAAAGGGAGAGAAAACGAAAAGACAGAGAGGGGTGGGGAGTACAGCGGGGCACGTGGAGAGCTGTTTATTCATTGTCACTGATTGCACATGCATATGAAAAAAAATAATCTGGATTCATCATGCTCAAGCTCTTATGGAAATTGAATTCAATTAAATTGCTGTGAAAAAAATGAAAGGGGGTTGTTTGGAAGAAAGAAAGAAAGCATGCAAGAGGGTGAAAGCACAAAAAAAAAAAGAGATGTCAGATCCCAGAAGGTGACACTGCTAGACACTTAAAATAGGGCTGGGCGATGTGACAAAAATATATCACAATAAAAGTCATCTCATATCATACATCTATGTAAATTCAGTCAGTTAATAGTAACTATATTGGCCAATGGAAAGACTTTTTTTTTTTTTTTTACAATTTAAAGTATGTATTCAGATATCTACTCCTGTTTATATGATCAAGAGGTCAAAAGTTTGATTAAAAATGTACAAACATAAAATAAATATTAAAGAGCCACTATTATGCATTATAAAAGGTCATATTTTGGTTTTGGGGGTCTCCAACAACATGCTGATATACATGCAAGGTCAAAAAAACATTTTGATTGTCTTATAATATGCATTTATTTTTACCTAATTATCCTAACGACTCCCATATGATTCGTTCAGCGATTCATTTGTTCCCAAACCCCTTCTTTGAATGACGCAAATTTTCTGTGATTGGTCCGATGAGCCAGTCTGTTGTGATTGGTCGACTGTGTTCAGCGTGAGACGGAGAGAAACGCCCAGCATGGTTAAAAAATAGTCAGTGCACAAAGTATTTGTGAGAGCCCAATGCAGGAGAGCAATAAAGCAGTGCAATTAAACACCAGCATATTACTCTACTCTTAAACCTAACCCAAAGTAATTACAATGACACACATTCAATATTAATCTATACAGTGGCAAAGGTTAAACGATTTAGAAAAAATTGACTGTCACGCATGTGGGGAACAGCTGATAGAAATAAATAGCTGGAGATTACGAGCACAAAACGCATTAAATCGGTAAAGGAAGAAGCACGAGTCACGTTTTCAACGTGGTTTTAGATGCAATATGTGAATAGCCCCATACAGATTTAACCTGAGAGATACAAGCACTGATCTATTACAGATACGTGATTACAAGCCGCACAGAGTAATTACAAGTTATAACACTCAATTAAATACATATTTTGCAAACTCCAGAAAATGAGGCAATCATTTTAATCATGCTTCACGTTGTTTAGGAAGAAGAAACACGTATAGACACGTATATACAAATCCCGCAGTTATTGTATCAATCATCAGAAAAATGACATGAACAAACACAGCCCACGGTTAGCTATACTGTGGTGTTGTTGTGAAAATGAACTTTAACCCTTTATTCCCCACAGCTGCATGTCTGGCCATCTCTCAGTGATGGTAATCGTCGCGTCATGATCAATCCTATGATCCCTAACACTCCGCTAGTGTCTGAAGGGAAAGCCACGTTCACGTTTTACCAGATCCGACAGTTCATATTTGGTATTGTTTTGTGTCGATGTCAAAACAGACGATCCAGACAAACGACAAATCCTTTAAACAACTCTAAGTCGAATCTTTTAATTAAAAAATAAATTAATAAATAAATAATCAATATTTTTTCAAACAAGGTGTACTTTCTGATTTAACTCTCAGCTGGATATTTTAGAGCGGTTGCACGCTGCATGGAAGGTAATTTTCAAAAACCCAAAATAGTGGCTCTTTAATCAAATATAAAACATTTTTTAAAAACTAAATGCTTACAGGTCCAACTTACCAAAAATAAAATGAATAATGTAAACATTGTGCTTTTAAGATAGCAATTATCACAATGCTGTTATTCATGTGTAATCATGTGCTCTTAGAAATGATTTAAAAAGTATTAAAATAACACCACAACATAAACAATAATACCTAATGTACAACAGTAGACTTTTTTTTTTTCATACGATATATATCACCATATTGCACAGCCCTACTTAAGAAAATACAACTCACAATGAGCCGTAAAACTTCACAGGTATGAAAAAGCTCTTTAGTGGCCCATAAAAAGTCACCGTAGCAGCTGTGACACAAATCTGAAACAACAACACATCACAAGACCCGAGGCCAGGGCTGAATTGTGGTGGCATAGAAATAGGAGTGCTGGATAACCCTGGCTCTTTTCAATATTATTATTTCAGTACCTTGAAGGAGGAGCTGACGAAGCGCAACGACCCACATGACAAGGAGAGAGGGTGAAGAAAGCGTCCGTTCACTGCCTAAAAACACAGAAGCAGAGTGTGGCTTTAATTGATTCATAGCTCAGTCAGACACAGAGCGCGCTGTTGTTCTCGACAGCTGTTGTTTAGCCCTCATGAAAAGTGAAGGTTGAGTATGTACCAGCTGTATATACCTGCATTTGAGCACAAGGAGACAGCTGGGTCACACAGCTTTTAATAGCTTAACACCAGCAAATATAAAACGCTTAACAAGTAGTGCTGTTTGCTCAAGTTGTTTCCTCTTTAAATTATTTTCCAGGCCCAATTTACCAATGGGTATTTGTTTGCTTTATAAATAATGTAGCAGGGCTACATAATAGCTTGCTGCTCGATCTGTCAGGTGACTTCTCTTAGCACAATGCAAATGTTTTACAAGTTTAGTTTGTGTTAAAATAATGGCCCGTTTCAACTAACTATGATTTGTTTTTGTGAACTGGCATTTAAATTGTTTTTGTAGTTTGCGGGATAAATATTTTCTTGATTTTGTTTTTTATTAATGTAAAAAAATGCTCTTACCCCTTAAAACAAGCACTTGGATCTTTTTTTTTTGTGTGGATTTTCTTTTTATAAATGTAAAAAATACACTTGCCCTTTAAAACCAGCACTTTGTCTTTTCTTTAATCTTTTTTTTTTTTTAAATGTAAAAAAAAATGTTCTTGCCCTTGAAAAGTAGCACTTGTCTAAAAAAATTATTTCTTGAGTTTTTTTTCTTTTTAAATAAATAAATAAATGCTCTTGCCCCTTAAAACTAGCTCTTCACCTTTTCTTGTCTACCTTTTCTTTTTTATAAATACAAAAAATGCTCTTGCTCTTTAAAACTAGAATTAAAACTGAATTTTTCTTTTCATGGTCACGTTTTGTTATTTATTTAGTTCAGCAAGGGAAGCAGTGGCCCAGAAGACTCACCTGTTTTTATTATTTTTCTTGGGAGTTAGGTAAGATCTCTTCTGCAGGAACAGCTATAGTCAGGGAACTGTTGTTTAGCTGCCCTACCTGTCCACAGTTAGTTTGTTTAAAATTTGTGTTTCTTCTTGTAAAGTTGATTTTAAATAAGATTAAAAATATATTTACAGTCAATTTATCATATTTAAGCGTCTGTGTGTTTCAGATGTTCGGCTTAAATCCTGATCTCATTAATAGAGCCAGTTTGGATTTTGTAACAATGAATGTAAAAAATGCTCTTGTCCTTGAAAACTAGCACTTTGCACAAAAAACATGCCACTCTGAATTTCTAATACTAACAGCGTCTTATTTATTGTCTGTTTACACCTACATATGTTAATTCAAAACAAATTATACTAATTATGATACTATAATACTAAAAATTAGGGCTGCAAGATATTGGAAAAATCTGACATTGCAATATTTTGTATTTCTCTGATATATTTTGTGATGTGAATATAGGAATTCTTCATTTTAAACATATTTGTGTGACATTGTAAGGGACTGGATGTCAAATATAGATAACAAATAACCTACAACTTAGCATAGATAAATAAAATATAGCAAAGATAAAAGTGAATTTGAGTTTTCTGGAGAGTCTAACAGTATTCAGGTACAGATATTGTGTTCACAACAAAAAAGGAACTTATAAATATTTGAAAACAGTAAGTAATGGTTGTACTATCTCTTTAGTAATTGGTTAACTATCTTTTTAAAAATGCATGCAAATGATAAACTTTTACTCTATTATAATTCAACTTTGCATTGATTATTATGAACAATAATCCCAACTCAAAATTGAAGATCCTGCTATTGCGGATGCACACATTGCGATATCGATGGTGAAAGAATATATTTTGCAGCCCTACCAACAATCCATTTAAAATTTCTAAATAAAAAATCTGACCTTCTAAAAATAACACACTCTATTTTATATTATATCTTTATATAGGCATGTAGAGCAACGCAGTAGCGCAGTAATTAGTGCGGTCGCCTCACAGCAAAGGGTTGCTGGTTCGAACCTTTGCTTAGTTGGCGTTTATGTAAGGAGTTTGCATGTTCTCCCTGTGTTCGCGTGGGTTTTCTCCGAGTGCTCCGGTTTCCCCCACAGTCCAAAGACATGCAGTACAGTGAAGCTAAATTGTCCGTAGTGTATGAGTGTGTGTGTGTGTGAATGTGTGTGTGGATGTTTCCCAGAGATGGGTTGCGGCTGGAAGGGCATCCGCTGCGTAAAAACGTGCTGGATAAGTTGGCGGTTCGTTCTGCTGTGGCGACCCCAGATCAATAAAGGGACTAAGCTGACAAGAAAATGAATGAATGAATAGCCATGTAGACAAATAAAAAGGGCTGACAGAGACTGGTCATAGTATTTGTTCATTTTGTCGAATTGATTACTTCTACCGTCCGACATTTAAATCACCTTTTTTTTTTTTTTTTATAAAAGTGTCTAGCAAATAATAAAAGTAAATGTAAACGCAACCATATTGTCACACAAAGTTGCTTGGAAGCAAGTCTGCAAGGTTAGTAAATCAAAGTGTAACAGTACTGCAGGGAAGGAGACCTGAGGCTGCACAACTCTGACAGAAATTCAATAACTTTAAGGCTATAATGTGATTAAATAAAAAAGCACTTGCAATCCAGTTATGCTTTCGCCAATGGAAGAGCATCAGATCATTCAATCTCCCAATAATACAACCATCTCTATTAGAATGCGTTTTAAATTCACTGCAAAAACTACTTATTTGTGACTAGAAACTTTAACCAATCACCTTCCAAATTTCATCAAGTGATTATGATGACACCAACAAAATATCACAACACAAGGAAAGGATAAATTATTGGCTCCAATTTTGATAGCATTTGCTACAAAATCATTTATGTAGGTCACAAAAATATTTACAAAGAGTCCCCGCAAAATTCAAGACGGACCATATGTTTTTGAAAACTACCATTTTTGTTTATTGTTATGTTAGCTAATTAATTCATCTTAAAATGGGTTAGTTAGTTTAACAAAATCCTTGGTTGAAATCTACTGCAGATGTATCTGTGCATAGAAATTATATGCATATTGATATAATAGTGATGACACATTTCCAGAATTATTATCTATTAATTACCAGTGATTAGTAACTATTAGGTACTAGTGAATTTTCTTGATAAAAGTGCATCAGTTATTTTATTTTTAACTCAATTTCAGAAACAATGTTAATCTAGCCATTTACAATGGTTTAAAAAAACTAGTCAAACTTGTCTTTCTTGAAGCTATAAAATAAGACGCAATACCACCTAATGCAAAGGTTACACGTAAAACAGGCTTAGGATGATACCAGCAAACTGGATTAGATGCTAGTAAGAAATCAGTTGTTAATATCACTAATGTCCTAAAAATGTTATATCTGAAAACTGCAACAAGTATGTACTTAATATGATTAATACAAAAAAAAAAAACTATTGCAAATAAACACTTGAATGATTAATCAGAATTTTATAGTTCAAAACTAAACTATCAAACTGTCAAACTAGTAAAACTAAACATTTAAAGAGTCAGCATCAGCATGACAAGACAAAAGAGGAAAACAAGACATGACACTGACATAAACTGGATTGCAAAAGTTAAAGGTGCAGTAGGTGATCTGCCTAAATGCTAACCGGTTAGCATAATATCTTTCAAATACAATCCCTCCCCTGCCATCCAAAGCTATGCCACCTGAAATCGCAAACGTGCACATCAAAGATGACAGACACCAACTAGATCATGTCATTCGCTAGTTGGAAAAGTAAAGCAGGCTAGGCGGAATAGCGCTACTTATTTATGGTTTGTCGTTAAACTAAATAAAAACCAACATTATCAATGCTGTTAAAGGCCCTTATGAAACTGAAAAAAATAGTCACATGAATCGTCTGGAAAATTTCAGTGGCTGAACAACACTTCTGTGCATATAACCCGTTCATAAAACAACAAAATCTTCATCAGCTTTAGGGGACTAAAATACTTTTAAAACAGAACATTACCTGTCTATAAGAAATACTTCAGCCGTGGTGTTGTTCTTTCTTCAGCATGCAAAAGTAACTCAAATATTGATTCAGGATTTTAAAACGTTTTTATTCAGCATTTTATTTTACCGCTGTTACTCATGTCCATGTGAATGCGCATCAGTGGATCTGCGCGAACAGATGCAAAGTAGTTCAAATCTACATTTGCTGACAGACAGTTTGGGCTACTTATCAGAATTATCAGCCCGACAATATTTAATTAAATGAACTTTTTTTTGTTTTATGCCTTTCACAGAATTTAAAAATACATAAATACATTTAGATCATTTACTTTAATCATTACTTTTGGCTTTCAACCAGCACAACCAAAAATGTTTCTGAAGACTACTGCACCTTTAAACAGTAACTTTCTGAGCAATAACTAGCTGAGGAAAACTCAAGCAGACATTATCCAATACTATATACTAATACAATTATTTAAAAGTCGTTTTGAAAGCCTACTTTTAAAATTACTATTATAATACATGCGAGAAACTCCATGCAAATGTTTACCTTGCCATTAAAATTAGGTTTTCACCAATATACGGAAACCCTTTCTACGTTTTTTTTTTGTGTTTGTGTGTAAGCAAGTATTTTACAGCACTTTAGAAATACTCAAAAATGTATTTGTCAATGGTTTCAAACTATTATAATTGATCTACCAAAGTCACACAAGTGGCAATTTCACATCCGCCACATCCATAACGGAGAGATTTCACATGCATAATGACACTTTTCTTCATAAATGCAAAAATATTAAATAAAATAAAATCAATCATGTTTGTTCTATAGAAAGCCGACTCTTATTCTTATGATTATCTTTTTATAAAAAAATTTTTTTTAGGTTGTGCAGTTTAATTCACAGAATTTCTACAATGTTGTATACTGTAAACTCGCCGACTTTTGGTAACACCCAAAACGCATGTTCATTTCCCTGATTTAAAGTGTAACAAAAATGTTTACAGATTGATATTTTTCTGTTTTCATAACTATGTGGTCAATTGTTCTGGAAAATATGACAGTTGCTTCAATATAATATTAACGTATAATTACTATGTGAATTTATTTTTTGGGCTTTTAATGCAAATGTCACATCCATAACGCTGGAATTGCTCATATATTTTGTAAATGAACGTCGCGTGCGTTCACACAAGTAAAGCAAGTTAATGCTCATGTGAACCACACGCGTTCATCAGAACATTGTCATTTATTCCAGTATCTATTATTACCAGTTATTAACAGCGTAAAAACAAATTACACTGGTTAATAAATATTAAAATATCCACATTTAAACATTTAAAAACACCAAATGTTCAAACCCTGCCTCCCGCTCCTGTGCTGACTGAAAACTTTACTGTTGACAATTTGCAGCGTCTATGATCTGCAGGTTGAAGCTGCTAATTGCATTTGTTACCATACGCCAGATAAATCTGTAATGTTAAATCAGGGTCGTTAATTATTGACTGTTGGGTTTGGAGGAGATAAGTAAGCCGATCTTTGAACTCACCGTCCTGAGCGCTGCCATCGCTGCTGCTGCTGTTGCTACTGCTGTGAGATGAATGGTAAACTCGTCCGAGTGGGAGCAACAGCTCAGGACAGACAGGCCGGGCTCTGCGTTCCGGATTGGAGACCTGCGGAAACAGCGCCATTCTGCTGGGTTTTGAACACCTACATGCCCCTTTAGTTGTTATTTGTGACTCGTTCGCATTATTTGCAACACGAGCAGTGTTTTATTTGCAGCATAGGGTTAATTTGAAACAAATGAATGCTATTATTTGTGACGAAACAAGGATGTAGCTTTAAAAATTTTAAGTCACGTTTTCTCATTGAGTGCACCGTAATTATATTTCATATAGCTAATGTTTAATATCGAAGTATGTATGTAATCTATTATTAGGACTATATATTAATTAAAATTGCATTCATGTTACAAACAACATATCGCATTTCCATTAAATGGTTAATAAACCGCGGGTAGGCGTGACGGATCTCACGCATCTGATTGGATGAAACTAGGGTCACACAACGTAATCGACGGGGTCAAACAAGGTTATAATGGAAACATTCCATTCATTGGTCAAAAAGAGGCGTTGGTCGCGTCCAGTTCAATGATTGGCTTCTGGAAATGTGCAGAAATGTGTTTCATGTCAGTAGCTTCAGCTGATCATGTGATCAAACCTCCCGTTATCGGTATCAAGCATTATAGTAAACAAGGATGTGTGATTTTAAATTGCAGAGATTGAAATCCAGTTTCTACAGAGGTTTACAATTTAGTTTAGTGAGTTAAATTTAATCTCAACCTGTAACTTATTAACTTGAGAGTCATATTAAGAAGTGGAATCATTTGATGGCACATTTAATTTATTTTAAGGATCACAGTGCAGCCTCAGAATACCAGCTGTCATTTTAAATCTTCATTCTTTCACACTATCCTTCAATACACCGGAGTCTCCTCAGTAAAAGTCTTTACTTTATTTTTTACAGCTTTTATTTGTCAGTGAAGAATCTAAATAAGGATCTTAGATTCGACTCTTAAAATGTTTCTGTTACACACGTTCTCAAAAATGATAATTTACTCACCATCTGTTCATCCTCTATGGGTTCTAAACCTTTATGACTTTATTTTTTTGAAGAATGTTGGATACTAGCCATTGAGTACAAAAAGCAACACTGAAGTCAATGGCTACTGGTTTTTAACATTCTTCAAAGTGTCTTGCTTTGTGTTTTATCAGGGGAAAAACACATATCGGAAGAAGTTCTGTCATGCTTTTTAAAGCCTAATGCTAAAATATAAATAATATCACAATAACAATGTAGAATCAAAATGTTTTAATTCATACAAACTAATTAGAAATACAGTGCATGAAACAAATCTCAGATTGTCAAGGCCAGACTTTGTTAAATCAAAAATCACAACACAGATCTATTCTGATTAATGTATAACAAACCAGTCTAGAAATGTTTATAAAAGTCATACAAGTCACATTTATTATAGTGTAATTCACAGTAGTTTAGTAAAACATTAATTTGAAGGTCCCTTTCATGTTATATTTAACTACTATATTTGCATAGAAGTTCAGTATTGAGATTATCACACGTAAACTATGAATATCAGGGAAAGAAACACATATTGGCTTTAAATACAATTATTGCACCATGTACACTACTGGTCAAAAGTTTAAGGTCAGTTTTTTTTCATGTTTTTTTTTTTTTAAAGAGAATAATTCTGTTCATCAAGGCGACATTTATTAAATGTAAAACATATTCCAGACAATATTGCGATTAACCTTAATATTAATATTATTAATGAATATTAGAGTGATTTCTGAAGGATCAAGTGACTCTGAAGACTGGAGTAATGAAGCTGAAAATTCATCTTTAAAATCACTGGAATAAATGATTAAATTAAATGATAAACTACTTTTGAACAGTTATTTTATAGTGCAATAACATTCCACAATTTGGTCTGTATTTTTGATGAATAAATGGAGCCTTGGTAAGCAGGAGAAGCTAATTTTAAAACATTTAAAAATCCTACTGACCCCAAACCTTTTGACCGGTAGTGTACTTTATCTTGAGGCAGCATGAAAGTGTGGCATTTTTAAATTCTAACATTAATAAATTGTTATTGTTTGACTGAAAGCTGTGCAAATCATTGGCACAATGAGTGAAATGATGCAAGATTGTAGCAAAAAAAGAATCACACAATTACAACCTGTACAGACCAAGTACAATAAATATAACGAGAAAGATTTTTTATGTGCCTGTAGAAACAACACATAAGAATACTGAAAAAAAATATTCAAAGATGATTCCTCAGATTTACTAATTCTTTTAAGTTAGGTAATTGAAAACAACTGATTTGGGTTGAATATAAACAAACAAATTTTTTTCAAAGTTGAACATTACAAACTCAACACATAGTTTGCAACATTTTTGCAGACATTTTTTTTTCAGTGAATTAAACATACTCCCTGAGAGCTGGAATGAATCTATATCATCATCTAATGGATCTTTCCGTCATTTTTTCAATGATGGAATTTGGCTTTTAAAGCCATAATTGAGTTCGGCTCCTCCGCTCAGAAACAAATCTATCCCAGTACAGAAAGTGGCGTCAGCTGCCAAGAAGAGGGCGGCCAATCCACTCTCAGCCTCTGTTCCCATTCGACCAATCAGCTGTTGAGCACAAACAGGTAGCTTTAACATCTCTGACAGACCATCGCCATCTTATATTGCTCATCAACCGTTATAAACACTAGTAAAAGTACCTGAGCATCTTCTCCACCCTTAATAGTAGCAGCAGTGTCTTCTGTGTTTGCAGCAAGCTCTTCCCATAGCGGTGTCATAATATTACTGGGAGAAATGCTGAAAAGAGTTGAATAGTATCGAGTTACATTATAAACACCAATGGGGATTCAATAGAGTAAAATATATTGAGACATGCAGTTTAGATTTTATTTTACAAATAAGTAAAAAGTAAGTATGTCACTCACCAGTTCACCCTCACTTGATAGCGGCTCTCATCTACAGCCATTGCTTTAGTCATGGCGGTGATCGCCCCCTTGTGGATTTATGAGAGTATTAATATTATATGAAGGTAAATCAGTTGCGTAACTCGAGAGCTTGCAAATGTAAATGTGAGCACTTGTGATAATAATATTTGTATGTGTAGGTTGAAATGTACACTTACAGCTCTGATGTGAACAGCTGAAACCCTCGATTTGCACACACACACAACAATCCACACACTTGTGTTTTAAATTGGAAGTTGCAGATTGATAGTTGTGTATTTGTAAAATGTCATTTACAAATACAAAATGACAGACACACGTGTGCACGGCAAATTTGATTGCATCTTATCTCTACAACCACAGGTCGGCACTCACAACCTCTCAGTTTTGTCAGTACAACTACAAATCTCCCGCGCTCTGACTTTTGCTACACATCTCCCGCGATCTCTGTAGCAGAACTCATCTGTGCACTCGCAGATGCAGAGGCGTGAGCAGCGCGGGGCGGGGGAGGGGCGGGGCAGGTGTAAAGCTGTTTGATTGGCTGATGCCTGACCAATGAACAATGCCAGCAGCCAACAGGACTGAGGTGCAAAATAATCATTTCCCACGAATATTTTATTATTTAGGGTTTATTTCAACTCTTTTCTGAAGAGATTCTTGTTAAAAATCATTAATTTTGCGGAAATGTACATACCAGTAAAAGAGCAGCAAAGCCAGTTTATTGGCTAGAGCCAGCCAATGAGATGGGGCGTTTCTGTTTGTCAGGACACAGGGCAGCTCACGTTGTTGGAGGCCTCGAGCAATCAGAGGGTAAGTTATGATTTTTAATAATTATCTATATGTTCAATACTGTTAGCTAAGCTAAGGACTGTGCTAGGTGCTTCTCTAGTTTGGTTTTTTATATAAGAAACAGTTATGAGTTATGTAGGAGTTGCTTTCTATCATGTTATATGGTTCTAAAGATACGATTCAACCCACATGAAATAAGTTGTAATAGTATTTATAGTAAATAATATTACGTTTTTGAACCATACTAACTATAGTAAACTGTATTATACTGTATATACTGCAGTATCTACAACTTTGTTAATGAATGCAACAGCACACTGTAGTATTAACTAGCATGAACTTTAATAAATTAAAGTATATTTACACACACATTAATAGCAATTAAAAATAACACTAGGCGTTTTAGTTTCTCACTGATTATACCGGTTTTTGTTATAATAACCTGCATCATGGCTATCTATCCATCTATCTATTTACATGTTTGTGTACAGTGTGTCCTTTATATCACTTTTTTTAATTATGAACGTTACTAACTATAGGTTATTTCTCAGTTTCCTGTAAGGATAGAGTGACAGGAGAGATCAGCATGTTTCAAGTCGATGAGGAACTCAGAGAAGCTGCATAGCTTGAATAGGATGTTATTTATGCTAAAGATGACATGATGATCCAGCTCATCTACAAACACTTCAAAATGATTCAGATCATTCAAGAGGAAGCCGACCATTTGTTTTCTCTTTTTACCTGCCAAGATGATTACAGATTTGAACAAAACACACACTTACCCACACACACAACTTTTATTTTGATAATTGTTTAATGTAGTATTTTTACACTTTACTGTAAAGTAGGGCTGTCAAACTTAGTTCCTGGAGGGCTGTAACCCTGCACGTTTTTAGTTTCAACCCTGCTTCAACACACTTAAGTGAAAGTTTCAAACAAACCTGAAGGACTCAATTAGTTTGATCAGGTGTGTTTAATTAGGGTTAGAACTAAACTTTGCAAAGCTGCAGCCCTCCAGGAACTGAGTTTGACACCTGTGCTGTAAGGGAAATGTTAAACATTAATTTGTCAAATAAAATTTACAGTGCAAATAAGTGCAGCACAAATGTCTAGTTACTTGTATTGAAATATTTCAGGGTTTTTCCTTGTTCATAATGAGATGGAGGTGGTAAATCCAACTTCATCATTACCCATCAAATGTTATCTCCTCTTTAATCCTTTGCTCAAACCTTTAGTAATGGGCAAAAAGCAAGCCATTGTGTAAAGCTGGTTGATGCTCGCTGTAATAGAGAGAGATGATGACTGTTCAGCTTATGTTGCTTAACCCTGCAGATGAGATGCTCAAAGTGGACCCTCAGCCGAGCGATGGACACTGTCTCCCTCACCTAGTTGCTCTTCCTTTGAACACACATATCATGTTGAAGGATGCAAAATCAGATGTAATGGATGTAGATGTATAAATCAGAAATAAATGAAACTGCTTTAAAATGTATTAGGTTTTACATATAAATATGTGTTCTTAACAGATTTGTTTCAACTTGATATTTGCATAATAAATGACATTAGAATGTTTAGTTTTAAACAGATAGCTATATTTCAATCTTATCAAATTTAAGCTATATATATATATATATATATATATATATATATATATATATATATATATATATATATATATATACTTCAATTTATTAAAGTTCATGCTAGTTAATACTACAGTGTGCTGTTGCATTCACTCATTAACAAAGTTGTAGATACTGCAGTATATACAGTATAATACAGTTTACTATAGTTAGTATGGTTCAAAAACGTAATATTATTTACTATAAATACTATTACAACTTATTTCATGTGGGTTGAATCGTATCTTTAGAACCATATAACATGATAGAAAGCAACTCCTACATAACTCATAACTGTTTCTTATATAAAAAACCAAACTAGAGAAGCACCTAGCACAGTCCTTAGCTTAGCTAACAGTATTGAACATATAGATAATTATCATAAATCATAACTTACCCTCTGATTGCTCGAGGCCTCCAACAACGTTAACTGCCCTGTGTCCTGACAAACAGAAACGCCCCATCTCATTGGCTGGCTCTAGCCAATAAACTGGCTTTGCTGCTCTTTTACTGGTATGTACATTTCCGCAAAATTAATGATTTTTAACAAGAATCTCTTCAGAAAAGAGTTGAAATAAACCCTAAATAATAAAATATTCGTGGGAAATGATTATTTTGCACCTCAGTCCTGTTGGCTGCTGGCATTGTTCATTGGTCAGGCATCAGCCAATCAAACAGCTTTACACCTGCCCCGCCCCTCCCCCGCCCCGCGCTGCTCACGCCTCTGCATTTGCTGCACAGATGAGTTCTGCTACAGAGATCGCGGGAGATGTGTAGCAAAAGTCAGAGCGCGGGAGATTTGTAGTTGTACTGACAAAACTGAGAGGTTGTGAGTGCCGACCTGTGGTTGTAGAGATAAGATGCAATCAAATTTGCCGTGCACACGTGTGTCTGTCATTTTGTATTTGTAAATGACATTTTACAAATACACAACTATCAATCTGCAACTTCCAATTTAAAACACAAGTGTGTGGATTGTTGTGTGTGTGTGCAAATCGAGGGTTTCAGCTGTTCACATCAGAGCTGTAAGTGTACATTTCAACCTACACATACAAATATTATTATCACAAGTGCTCACATTTACATTTGCAAGCTCTCGAGTTACGCAACGGATTTACCTTCATAATATTACTTCTAAAATGAAGGACGAACATGTAAGAATTTTCCCACAAGAAAAAAAAAACACTCACCTTGGTTGCTACATAAGGAGCTGCATCTTTTTGGCCTATTGAAGCCACAAGGCTGGACAAATTGATAATGTTTCCTTGTGTCTTGCGGAGATACGGCAGCGCATACTACATTTAGGGAAAGTAATGGAAAGAGGTGAAAATGAAATATTCTTTTAAAAATCAGTTATTTAGCATTTCAGCAAAGAGACTAGAGAGTGTTACATGGTGTTGATATCTTACTTTGGAAGCAAGGAAGAAGCTAATAAGGTTGAGATTAAGCAGGTCTTTAAACTCCTCTCCACTGGTTTCATCTGTGGTCTTGTGGGGAGGATCTGATGGAAATCATTCACAATCAAAATGAATTATTATTCATTTATTGGACACTTGATTTAGATTGTTCATGAATTTACTTTAAATGAATACTTAAAAAAACATATTTTAAAAATAAATTTAAGACTGATTTGTTAAAATAATGCAAAAAACTGTAAAACACATTTTAAAAAGTTCCTAAAAATATATACAAATGTTTGTATAAAATGTTTATATACAAAAAATATATATAAAGGTGAAAATAATTGACTTACGCCAGCCAACATTGTTCACCAAGCAGTCTATTTGTCCAAAGCTCTCAACCGTCACATTGATTAGTTGCTTCAAGGTAAGAAAAGACAATACATTTTCAAAACAATTACCACCTCATTTTAACCTCCTAGGGCTTGAGTGTCCACATACGTTGACTATGTGGACAGCACATTTTAGCTCTTAAGTGGCTATTTAAAATACTTTGAATGTTTTATATTTTGTTAGACATACAGTGTCATCCTGCATTTGTTTTGCAGCATATGAAATGTCCTAAAAACTACTTTTAACTGTCTAAAATAGGGAAATATGTTATTTTTACTCTCTGATAGTCAAACCATGTAAAAAAATGTATATGTTATATATGCATTAAAAACAGTCAGGAAAAAGTGTTTTATGTAAATTCAGACCATAAGTCCACAAATATGGACATAATTTTTCTCTAAAAGTACATCATATCAAAAGATGATACTTAGGTTATTATTTTAATCAGGTTCCAATAAGCCCAAATAGCTTATTATTATAGTAATTACAATGAATTATGCAACTAACTCTAAACTATCCTGCATTCTACAACTAACCAGAAGAAATGCTATTAATTAATCTTACTTAGTAGTTAAACAAATAGTTACACTGTGTCAACTCAACCGACCAAACTTTTTTCATCCAAATTTGTATTATTCTATTAAATGATAAGAAAACAATTAAAGATGAGAATTAAATTGATAGTTTAACCAAGATGAAAATTCTGATGCAAACGAAGATATTCTGAAGGATGCTGGAAACCTCTAACCACTGACTTCCATAGTACAGGGTTTCTGCAGGTGTCATCAAGTCAAATTTAAGACTTTTTTAGACCCTTTTAAGACCATTATGAATGAAATTGTGTACCGGACTAATGACTATGGCCAGGTTGGGCCAATGGATTTTTTTGATGCTACAATTTAATGGAATTATTCCTTAGCGACATACTTTAATGTGTAAAAACAAGACAACTCTAGTTGTGTACACTATTTTCAACAAAATATTTGTTGTTTTTAAATGACCTTTAACATTATTAAATGTACACTTATTGTGGAGGCAATTAAATTCATTCATTCATTAATTTTGTTTTTTTGGCTTAGTCCCTTTATTAACCTGGGGTCGCCATCACGGAATGAACCGCTAACTTATCCAGCATGTGTTTTTATGCAGCGGATGCCCTTCCAGCCACAACACATCACTGGGAAACATCCACACACACTCATTCACAAACACACTCATACACTACAGTCAATTTTACCATACCCAATTCACCTGTACCACATGTCTTTGGACTGTGGGGGAAACCAGAGATCCCGGAGGAAACCCACACAAACACGAGAAGAACATGCAAACTTCACACAGAAATGCCAACTGACCCAGCAGAGGCTTGAACCAGTGACCTTCTTGCTGTGAGTCGTACGTGCCACCCAGTGTGTCACAGCGTTGCCCCGGCAATTAAATTAATAATCAAAAATAACATTTTGTTGGCTTCTGGTACAAATTGGTTGAGAATAACTTCTATTGCACCTAATGCATTTATGTTATTATCATGAGGAACTGAGTAATTGTTTTTAGTTTTCTTTCCCTGATTTTATTAAGATGGATTGCTGGTGGATGATAGATGTCAGCCCAATTGGGTACCTTTACTCGGACAGAAGAAATTTCAGACCTGTTTAAAATGATTTAAGATACAACCCATTATTTCAGTTAAGTCTTTTTAAGACCTAAAATTTTATAATTGAAATTTTTGAAAAAAGACTTTAAACCCGGCAGATACCCTGATAGTAGGATATCTGTTTTCCTATTATGGCTGTCTGTGGTTACAGGGTTCCATCATTCTTCAAAATGTCTTATTTTGTGTTCAACAAAAAACCTAGAATGAAGTCGTAAATGCAAATATGAATGCTTACCTTGATGTCCTCTTCTTCTCTCATGTCACATGACACAAACTTGCATGATCCGGGTCCTTCCTTATTCAGCACGGACTCGAGAGACTGACCAGCTGACATTTCAGCTGACAATAAAAGAAGAGGAAACGTCATTGATTTCACTGCTAAAATACAGCTACACTTTCTTTAAAAATATTCTCGAATCAATTACATACTCTGTGGCGCGCAGAACACAACTTTGGACCCGTTTTGCACTGCGAAAGCAAACACGAAATAGGCTACTTTAATTTACTTTTCTTGTGTTTTTATTTCCTAATGGAAAGAAAAACGCCGTGAATGCTTACCAAACGTTTTGACGATGCCTCTTCCGATGCCTCTGGTGCCCCCGGTAACGATGACAACTTTGTTTTGATAGCGCGGAGCACAAGCCATTTCACTGCTGTGCGTTATTACAACCCCGCTGTATGTTATAATGTCAATGTGAAGTCTTTGTGGAGGACTGACAGTTTGTGCTCGAGTAAGAGGTTTCTAAAGTTCTGAAACCATCTGATAGAGAAGCATCACACGATTATATCACGTGCGTTAACCAGAGTTGTTCGCTTCCTGGACTTAGTGTTATTTTAGCGAACCTGTTGAACCGGTTCGTCGAAATAAACGAGTTCACAAACCCGACTGAATTGTCTTAAACATGATCCTTTTTTTTCTTTCGCAACTCTTCTTCAACAGCAATACTCCAGCAGTTCACTGACCTGGGAACAGTTACTGTCGTTGGATGTGCCAACTGAAACTGAGCATGCGTGTGTGTGGAAAGTGGAAAGTTTGATTTTAGATAGCCGGTTAACCTTTGTTTACAGCCAAAGCATATGTATTTTGTAGCATACGTTTAAAAACTCCGCTGCGTTAAAACGTGCTAGATAAGTTGGCGGTTCATTCCGCTGTGACGACCCCGGATTAATAAATAGGGACTGAGCCAAAAAGAAAATGAATGAATGAATAAACGTTTAAATACGTGATACAAAGTGTATTTTATTTTAAAATACAACAACAGATATTGCCAGATTAATAACTATTTGCACGTTAATGCCCATATAATGTCGCATAAAACATTTTTTTTGTTAATAACAACTAGGACAACAATAATGTTACTATATAATACATTAAATCTTTATATTATCATCATTAAATTATCATTATTATTTTACATAGTAAATATTTTTTATACATTAACATTATTATCATTATGTTTCAAGATAGTGTACAGTGTAAAAATGCTGGGTTTTACTCAATCGATTTGTGTTGGGAGAACATAAAGGAATTAAGTTATCTTATTAGTTTTTACAAATTTATAATTGTCCCATTTTTCCTAAATTCCATTGTCCCAAAAACATCAAAAATTGTATTGTGCCAGCTCATTTTAAACAAGTATTTGAACAAACAGCAATCTTTTTTTTTGAGTGTGTTGACTACATTATTTAAATGAATTTAAATGAACAAATAAACAAAATTTAATTTGTTTGAATTTAGCCCATTGTTTGTAACACATTAAAATGAAACCGATGAATACTTTATGTTTAGTGTATATTTGCTTATAGATGGTTTTATCATTTCAATGTCCAGTAGGCTAATAGCATAGTAAAGGTAAATGGTCTGATATGTTGTTTTTCGCTTGTTTGTTGAAATGAATTGTACCAAAGAACCAGTTTAGGGAGTGGGGGGAAGTGAACGGGCGTCGACAGAAACTTCAATATTGAGGTTTATTTATCCTTCAAAAAGGTTAAAAAAATGAAGAATTTAACTGAAATACATATGCATTTCCACACACAATAAAGTCCTTACATTCTAAACAGAATAATTAATTTGGATATTTGTGTATTATTGTATACAGTATTCATACAAATTATATTCAATTTACAATTATCAATCTATTTTAGGTTCAAAAGAATTAAGTGTTTAAATAATTATGATGCACTTCCTTATATACATGTATTAAGCAACAATCTTAATTTATGCATTTAATTTTATAGAGTAATTTAATGAAGACACAGTAGCTTAGTGGTTAGCACTGCCGCCTCACAGCAAGAACGTCACTGGTTTGAGTCCTGGCTTGGTCAGTTGGCATTTCTGTGTGGAGTTTGCATGTTCTCCCCATGTTCGCATGGGTTTCCCCTGGCTGCACAGTCCAAAGACATGTTGTATAAGTGAATTGAAAAAACTAAATAGTCTGTAGTGTATGTGTGTGTATATGTGTGAGAGAGAATGAGTGTGTATGGGTGTTTCCCAGTACTGGGTTGCAGCTGGAAGGGTACCCGCTGTGTAAAACATATGCTGGATAAGTTGGGAGTTCATTCTACTATGGTAAGCCCTGATGAATAAAGGGACAAAGACGAAGGAAACTGAATGAATTAATTTAATGTAGTAATTGTTCTAATTTATATGGTCAGATTATTTATCTGAAAAAAAAATGAGGTGTTAGACTTTCATAATATATTTGCTTCTGTTTTGACTATATAAAGTGATTCATTTAAAATAAGACCTTTAAATATGCATTTTTTGATTAAGAGAAAGAAAAAAAGGTTGTTTTAAGACCTTTAGTGTTGTCTCATTTATATCAATTAAGATGTACTTTCATTTGAAAGTGTCTGTTTATCCAAGTAAAATGTATTTGCTTCATGTGGAACCCTTTCAGAGTAGTTGTTTTATTAGACATAAATATGTGGATTTCATAAATATTGCCAATAAATGAATAAAAAATTAATTAATTAAACAAATTAAATATGAATATATAAATCTAAATATAAAATTTTATTATGTTGCACAATGGGACTGATGTTATTGTAAAATTCATACAATTAAATACTACATTTAAATTCCTCTATTTTGACCAAGGGTGTCACGCTCAGTTTACCTGGAGGTTTCAAACAAGCCTGAAGGACTCAGTTGGTTTAATCATGTGTGTTTAATTAGGATTAAAGCTAAACTGTGGCCCTCAAGGAACTAAGTTTAACACCTGTGCTATGGACAAAAGATGCTCTTAAAATATAGGTTCTATATTGGCATCAGTGGTTCCATGAAGAACCTTAACCCTTTTAGAGACATTTATCATTGTTTAGAGACATTTAGTGGTCCATTTAAAGGGTTTTAACAGTATTTGTTGTTGTGTTTCATGTCTAATTTTAAATATCTTAGAATAAAATTTCAATAAATCAAAAAAGGTGTAGTAAATAACATGGTCACATTCAAACCTAATTTCACCCATTAATAATTTTCTTCACCCATGGTGTTAATAAATTACATGATGATCTTAGTTTGAAGTAATTTTTAGTTAGTTTAAATCTTTTCTTAGATTTATAAAACTGTATAAACAACTTTGTCAGATTCTAAATGCAAAACTCCCACACAATATCAGTGATAAGCAGATTAAACTGACAATATTGTCTTCATGTTTTTTGTGAAACAGGCTGCGGAAAAGAACATGTTGCAGATCCAGTCACGTGAAGTAAAAAGCAGCATATGCAAGTGCTGAAACGAGAGTGAGTGGCGAGGGGTGCTGGTGTTAGGATGTTTGGGGGAGTGAGCTGATGAGGGGACGAGGGGCTCTGGATTGAATTACAGCATGACAGCATTCCCAGCACCGCTGTGACACGCACTGAAGAAACTGACCTACAAACAGCTCGAAGTATCAGAGGGAGGAGGACAGAGTTTACAGGAGAAAACACCTCCTGGGCTCAGAGAGTGGAGCGGGACAGTAGACGGACAGCTCATGTGCGGTGTAGGTAGAGAAGAAACACGGAGAGTGTTGGCTAACTACTCTGGAGCTACAGTCATAAGTGGCAGAGGGTAAGTCAAGGGACCAACAGAGTGACTTTTCAGAAACTTTTCTGAGCTTTGTACACTGAAAGAAATGATTCATATGATTTACACTTTTTTTTTTAAGTAAGTGGTGCCAAACATTTTATATGGAATGAATAATTAAATGCAGCCCACAGAAATTGTTTGCAACCATTTACCTTAAAGAAACGTAATAAATCCAATTAATCTTCAAATACATTTACAAGTTACAAATGCAAATCATTATTTTCACACCCTCCATACTTGTTCCAAACATGTTAAAGTTTCTTTCTCCACAAAAGGAGGTATTTTAAAGAATGCTGGAAATCTGTAGCCTCTGACTTCCATAGTATTCGCCTTACTATGAAAGTCAACTGCTGTCAGTTCCAACATTCTTAGAAATATATTTTGTGTTCATAAAAAAAAGAAAACTTATCAATGTTTTGAACCATTTAAGGGGCGAGCACATTTTCCTTTTCGGTGAACCAGCCATTTAAGATCTGTTTCATACGGTTCAACAGAGAATGTTTGATTTAATAACACAATCTTGAATCTTGTGTTTTAGTGGGAATTTTTAGTTTGTTTTCCTGTTATTCTCGAGGCGAGGGTTGAAGTAATGGATCTGTCTCCACGAGTCAACAGGCTACATGAAATATATGTGTATGATTTTATAGGGTGACAGGTGATGTTTCTTGAAAATAATTTAGGGATGGACAGCATCTTTAGTTACATTATTGGAACAGGACTGCATAATACATATACAGAAGTCTTGTCGTTTGGAAGTTTTCACATCCATTAATAATCTAATTTATTTTTCAATAATTTTTTTTTGGGTAGGATACAATTTAAATGACACTTAAGATCTAAATCCAATCATTTTAATTCAATATTATATTATTATTAAATTTAATAGAATTCTTCTGTCACACTTTTTAAAAAGTGAAGAGTTCTTCCTATTAACAAACCATTAACTAGCTCAATAAAGTAGTACACTGCAGGTTATTAATTCTTACTAAGTTAGGATTAGGAATGTAGAATAAGAGCATACTTAATAGACCATTTTTCGGCAACATTGGTCAAGTGTAAACATTAACAACGATCCTGATGAATTTTCTATTTTACTTTTTTTTTCATTTTCATAGCTTCCGAGAATTCAAAAAGGTCAACATATTCATAAATTTTGTAGTTTTTTAACGTTACGTTATGATTGAATTGCCTCTTGTTATAGTTATGAAATAGTTCAACACTGGGTACTTATAAACAGCCAATATCCTAAAAATAAGCAAGTAATAAGTTAGTATTAATAATAGGAATTGGTACTTCCTTCAAATTTTTCATATAATTCCACGATTTACTCAATTATATGAAAGAGTTTACAATTTTAAAAAAGTTTAAATGCCTTTGTTTTTTTTGTTGGTTTGGAAAAAAAATCAGTACAAATGTCTATGCAACTACATTTAACACGTTTACATCAACATTTTCTTCATTACGTTAAAAAGATTAGTTTTGTGAGCAAAAGTCTGCAAGTTCACCCAAAAAAAAGCTTCTGCTAACAAGTTACTTTGGCTTGAGTTTAATCACAGCTGCAGAAAGACTTTTAATGTGAACTCTATCACATTTAATGTACCTAGTTCATTCTACAAAAATAAACTCTTAGCTTATGTAGGACTGTTAATTTGTATCTAACTGTTATGTATATGTATGGATGTTTTTTCCGCACAAAATTAAAAAGAAAATTCTAATGCCAAAAAAAGATCAATTAATAAATCGAACTTTCAAGACAACTACCCAAAAGATAAATCAAACACTCAAATGCTCAAATAATAAATCAAAATGCAATCTCAAATGAGAAATCAAATGTTTTGACAACTCCTGTAAAATCCTGCAATAGTTAAATGACAAATCAAATGTTCAAACTATAATTCAAATGGAGGAACACAGCTGGAAGCTCATGACGGACTGATTACTAGAACTATAAAGACGCCTCCTTCACACAGACCCTTTGCTGAGTCTTGCTTTTCCCTCTGAAGCATTACAAAGTGGGTTTCCCTGTTTGTCCTGCCATGTTTTGATCCCTGTCTTGTTTACCGTTATTGTTGTTTTACCTCCTGTCCTGTTTCTAATTCTGTGTCTGATAAATGTTTTGTTTTTGTTTTTTTTGTTTTTTCAATTGACCAATAATTGATTTTTCAATTGATTTTCAAAAGTTGAGTGAATAAGAAAAAGCTAAAGGAAATAAGTATTATGTATTTTTGGTGTACTGGCTTAAAAAATTTACAGTGTCTATAAAAATACTGTACATTGTCCTGGCAGCTTATTGTCAATTTTATCATCTGTTTTGCTTCTATCTGTAAAAGTCTTAACGCTTATAGCTAAACTAATAGTTTCTGTTTAAATGTTACAGGCTGAGGGAAGAGCAAAGAAGAAGAGATGGACAAAGGAGAAGGAGAAGAAGAATCGAACAGTAAAATGGAGGACAAGACACAAACAGAGGAAGAGGTGAGCGAGAGTGACAAGAAGCTCAAGGACCAGCGCAACAAGGCCGAAAAGGGGGACAAAGAGAAGGGCGAGAAGAAAAGAGAGAACCGCAGGTCTGGCTCCACTTGGAGAGGAGGCTGGGCGCTGTCTGAGCGACTGGCCATCAACGTATCAGGCATGCGCTATGAGACACAGATTCGAACCCTTGCCCAGTTCCCCGACTCTCTGCTTGGAGACCCTCGAAGACGTCTGCGCTACTTTGACCCACTGCGCAACGAGATCTTTCTGGACCGAAACCGATTCTGCTTTGATGCCATCCTGTACTTCTACCAATCTGGAGGTCGGTTACGACGACCTGCCAATGTGCCGCTAGACGTCTTCATGGACGAACTGCGCTTTTATGAGCTGGGAGAGGATATCATGGCCCGCTTCAAAGAGGACGAGGGCTTCCCCAAGGAGGAGCCCAGGCCCCTACCAGAAAGTGAGTTCCAGCGCAAAATTTGGATGCTCTTTGAACACCCAGAGTCTTCTGGAGGTGCCCGCATCATCGCCATCATCAGTGTGATGGTCATCGTGGTCTCCATCCTCATCTTCTGTTTGGAGACACTGCCTGATTTCAGAGTGGAGAAGGAGCAGAGAGAGGTCAGTGTTTGATTGAAGCTTATAATATTTGGTGCACTCAAAAATGTGTTTTTGCTGCTTGTTAAAACTACTTATGTAAAATGAGCTGAAACCACACAATTCTTGAGTTTATATAGGGGACAACTTAATTGTTTTATGTTCAATCTACTTAAACTTGTAAAAACAGTTAAGTTAACTTCAATTCAATTCAATTCTTGTTTATTTATATAGCGCTTTTACAATGTAGATTGTGTCAAAGCAGCTTAACATAGAACTTAATCGGTTTGTGTTGGGACAACATGAAGGAATTATTTGGAACCCAGCATTTTTTTTACAGCGCACAGTAGCAGGACAGTGGCAAAATAGAAATACTAGCAGGTAACAGTCTGATGGTCTCTTTTAGGCCCCATTTACACCTGGAGTTAAAGGGATAGTTCACAACAAAATTAAGGTTTCCTTAAAATTGACACACTTCTAAAGTACTTTTGTTCAAACTACAGATGTCGATGGCTGCTTTTTACCAACATTCTACAGGATGTCTTGTTAAAATGAAAAATCTGCCATCATTACCTCACCCTTCACTTGTTCAAAAATGTGAATTTCTTTCTTCTGTTGAACACAAAAGAAAATATTTTGAAAATCGCAGGTATCTGGCACCCATTGACTTCCACCACAATAATTTTTTCCTACTGTGTCAATGGGTGCCAGTAACTCATTCAACTCTTTCAAATTCATTCATTTTCTTTCGATTTAGTCCCTTAATTATCAGGGGTTGCCACAGCAGAATAAACTGCCAACTATTCCAGCATTTGTTTTACACAGCGGATGCCCTTCCAGCCACAAAGAAGCCCATCCACTCTCACATTCACGCACACACCCACACCCACACCCACTAAGTAAAGTTTGTTTACTTAGTTTACCTATAGCACTTGTCTTTGGGTTGTGGGGGAAACCGGAGCACCTGGAGCAAACTCACGTAAACACTGTGAGAGCATGCAAACTCCACACAGAAATGCTCCCCAGGACTCGAACGAGTGACCTTTTTGCTGTGAGGTGACAGTGCTAACCACTGAGCCACCGTGCTGCCCCTGCCAGCAACTAAAAACTAAAAAATAAATCTTTATTTGTGTTCAAAAAGTCATAAAGGTTTAAAACCACATGAGGTAGTGTAAATGATTTTTGGTGTGGGCTATCTCATTGGCAACACTATATATAATGTGGTCTAAAAAGGTTTAACTATGTCCACTTTAGACACCTTCTAAAGGTAGTTAGTTGCCAACACATTTGATTGACGTATCTGCTTATGTGGTTTAGGTTTTCATGTGGTCAAATGTGTTCAAACAGCAATAAAAGACCACCTGACTGTACTCATTTCAGGATGTGTTATTGAAGCATTTTTGGCTTCCCAGGATTTAAATGTTGGCATCTATGATCGTAAGTTTGGTTTGAAGGGGAAAAAATGTAAAAAGCAAACGAGCCATGATTCTACCGTTAACCCTCAACCATTAACTTTGGCAGCTATTAGAGCAGAAACCAAAGATTCTGATCTCTCTCCCACATCCACACAAAAAAAATCTGCAACTGTATAAAGTCTCATTATATTTTCTGCATAGAGCAGCTATTTTTTGGTGAAATTAATTGCTGAATGTTTGTTAATATTTTATTTCATGTGCAAAATTGTTCATGTGCTGTTAATCGTTTTATTTTATGCAAATCAACATACAGGAACATGATTTCAGCCACTAGAATGAAACTGGCACGACTGTCCGCATGTGATGAACATGACTGATAAAAAAGGCCTATTGGCTGCCCATGTAAGCATTGTTTAAAAGGTGTTTAGTCATCTTAACATAGACGCTTTTGGTTAAAACATGACAAAAATTTGTCTCTCTGTGAAAATCTACTACACGTCTAACAATGGTGCAAGAATAGACTATTCCTTAAATAGAAAGAAATGAGTGACTACAGAGGTGAAGTCTTTTTAATTTATATAAAAAGTGAACAAAAGAGATATATTTAAACACCAGAAAATAGAAACTTGTTTCCCTTGTCTACAAGTGGTTTAATAACATTTTGTTTTAGGGTGTGTTTACACATGGATAGTTTGATTTGATTGATTGATTCATTTTCCTTCGGCATAGTGCTTTATTTATCAGGGGTTGCCACAGCAAAATAAACCAACCACTATTCTAGCATATGTTTTATACAGACGATGCCCTTCCAGCTGCAACCCAGTAGTGGGAAACACGCGCTCATGCACTACAGTCAATTTAGTTAATCTAATTAATCGGCTCACCCGGAGGAAACCCACGCGAACACAGGGCCCAGTCGGAACTCGAACCAGTGACCTTCTTGCCGTGACAATGCTAATCATCAAGCAACTTATCACTTACACTGAAGGTTATTCGATACACCAATACACTCATACTGACATTGTTTTTCATTCTTTAGTTAGTAATAAAAAAGGAATTGAAATACCTTTACAGTGATATACTGATCATGAACATCCAGCTGCCATTCACAATGCCGAGAGCCCTGAGAAATAGAGATACAGCAATGAGAAAACAGCAATAAAGAAAGCATACACTCTATGGACATATTTGCACACACTCTGCAATTCACTGGCATCAGTCAACAGATGAGGTCAGAGAAATTTATTTCACTTTAAGCATTATCCTGAACATTATGCAATCATTCGTTTCATGTGTCATAGAAGAGAGCAGGAGCTTGTGTAAACATCCTTTTTGATTTTCCCAGCAAATAAAAGGCCAGATTCTTTACACGATTTCAGTCCACAGGCAATGGAAAGGCATTTTTTTCATTACAAGCTGTTCACGCTTTGGCAATAAACAGTGATTAATAAAGTGTATTTACCATCCATAATACTTGTGTTGTGGAAAGTTACTTTTGAAAGTATTGTATGACAATATTGAGCTACTCCCCAAAAATTAACTAGTTGTGTTACTTGGTTATCTTTTACAGTAAGTAATGCGTTACATTACTGTAACTTTACTTTTGCATTACTTTTTGTAATAGCTGAGGCAGGACTTCTGTCAGAACTTGCATTTCCCCCCCTTCTTTTTTAAATAAAGGAGCTCTGCAGTAAATTACCACCTATATAACGTACACCTTGATTTACCTTCCAATAACGTTATTTTTGTAAACTTCCTGACCACTGAGCTATAGATGCCGTATATACAGATTCATAAAAGTGCAAAGCAATGTGGGTGCTACTTTTGTACATTTGTCTTATTAGTTTAGTAAAATCACTATCCATTGAGACAATCCTCTTTCCTATTCTTTTTAATGCTTTTAAAATAATACTTCAATCACACAAATGTAAGGGTCTGTTCCCGCTCCTGCATTCGCTCATTAAGTGCGTGATTAAATGTGACTACATTCATTTTACTTCAGCAGTTTATTTTTAAAATAGTTAATTAGTTAAAATAAAAAGTAATTCATATTACATTTTTCAAAAGTATATATATACATCTTTTTTGTCTCACTTTCAAAAATCATCTTAAAACTTAGTCGAGACTTGGTCCGAAATTATTGGTTTGCCTCTGCGGAGTCTAGCAGAGTTACATGAACAACAAATGCTAAGCAAAACTCAGTGTGATAGGAGATGATTCCCATCTTTTTTGTTCTGTTGTTGCCCTTTGTTTTTTTTTTTACTATTGTACTATTTATGAATTATTATGAAGGATGCTGGATTGTGCTTTTAAAAATATTATTTGTGTTTAATATTGTTTATTATAATATTAAAATAATAATAATAATCATATTTAATATAATTTTTAATATCACTTATTTATAAGTGATTTGTCTCTTTATGTGTTTGTTGTATCATAAAATGCTACTGCTCTAATTTAATTGCTCCTGTTGGAATTTATAAGGTTGTTAATCTTAAACATAATTTTTTGAAGTAATGTGTTACTTTACTCGTTACTTAGAAATGTAATATTATTAAGTATAACAATCGTTACTTGTAATGCGTTTGCCCTCAACACTGTCCATAACGCTATTAAAGTGAGCATGTACCTTGTCATACTGTACTTTTTCATAACACATTTAAACATGTAGAACATGACTGTGTCTGAAATCACACAGTTCCCTACTATATAGAATATAGAAATCACAACTTTGAAAAGAATAAAAGGTAGAATTCAAAATACTTATAATAAGCACCGTATGAACTACTTCATTTGGTCATACAATGGACACCATTAAGCCATTGTTTTTAAATGTTCACATCAGTCCATGTTCAGTGCACAGGACATAAACTGCATTTTCAGAACAGTATGCGCATAAAATGTGCACACAGTAATTTTTGATGCCATGGAAACAATGTTTCACAAATCTCATGTAAGAATTTTGAATAGTTAATTTTTTTTGGCACTACTAGGCTTATTCACAAGATGACAACACATACGTAAAGGAAATGGAATTGGATGGATTAAGAAAAAAAACATACTACTGAAAATGGCGAAACAAACCTCAGCATTTATTCTCCCTCATGCAATTTTTAACCTTTCTGAGTATCTTTCTGCTGTTGAACACAAGCGGAGATATTTTGAAAAATGCAGGTTGTTGGCACGCATCAACTTCTATAATAGGGCAAAAAAATTACTATGGAAGTCAGTGGGTGCTAGCATTTTGAAAAAAATATTAAAATATTAAAATATTCATTGTTAATCAGAAGATAAAAACCCAAATGATGTAAAACAATGACAGAATTTGCATTTTTTGGGACTACTATCATTTAAAGGGCACCTATTTTACCCCTGCTTCAAGATTTAAGAGAAGTCTTTTGTGTCTCCAGAATGTTTCTGAAAAGTTTCAGCTCAAAACACCCATCAGATTATTTATTATACCTTTCGGAATATTGGAATTTATTTAACAGAATATAGCTGTTTTTGTTGCCTGTGCCTTTAATGCTAGTTCTCCCAGCCCACCGTTCCCAGGTGTCTGTCAGAGTGTGCCTCAATCTTTGCCTCGGCTGCATCAGATAAACAGCACAGTGACAGACACAAAGGGTGCAGATCTCACGTAATGTTTATGAGAAATACTACAGTAAGAACTTTATGAATTGTT